TCAAACACTCTGGAAGAGAGACTTCGATTACATGCCAATTTTAACATGACGCCACTCATTCTAACAAACATTCCAAAGCAAGCATTTCTGGGAGGACTCTGAGTGAGTTGTCTAGGAACATTTAACAACTCAATTCAACTGGACCTATGATTTCAGACTTCTCTCTCCTGTTTCTCATTCAGTGCCCCTCTTTCTCCACCTAGAGGTGGGCTATCCTTTGAATTCCTTATAGCATTCTGTATTTTATGGCACTCAACTCACCCTGATTTGCAGTAAAATCATCATGTGTATACTTGCCTCTCCTTGCAAGACTGTAAGCTTCTCGGGGACCAAGACTTCTAGTGCCAGGCCAGAGCCATTTAAGCAGGTGGTCAATAAATGCATATAGACTCAAATCACCTTTAGAGTCTGCGTCCCAATCGTTTCCCTCGAACCTGCTTCAAAAGCACACTGCTCCTTCCCATTAGCCTGTCACTGTTCTCAGACGAGAGGCAGTCAAAGTGCAGGGTTAAGAGCATGGGCTCTGGAATCAGACTGCCTAGATTCAGATCCTGGCCGTGCCACTTACAATACGACTAACTTCTCTGTGCCACTGTTTCCTCATCATTAAAATGTGGATTTCACACCACCCACCTGTCATAATGATTAAATGGGATAATAAAGGTATAGTGCATAACACTGTCTGGGACATAGTAAGGGCTCAATAAATATAAGCTTATTACTCAAGGGGGAGAACAGGGCATAGTTTGAAAAAGCACTACTATTATCTTCCTAAGAACCTACAAAAAGTAAAACTTAACAAACTCTTGCCTGGTGGAGTTACCCAGAATAGTGAGAAAGCTTTGAAAAGCACTGCTCAAGAGTACTAAATGCCATGGACGTAACCTTTTAATTCCAACTAAAATTCACAAGCACTCACATGTGGCCTGCACAGCTCTCTGGTGTCTTATCTATTTGCACTCAAGATACAAAGGGGACTATGCTTTGCCAGGAATCTTATCAAATTACTACACATTCCTCTCCTTAAGAAAAAAATCTTACTCTTTAGGTGACCTACCAAAACCTTCTTAATTACAAAATGCCAATCTATCTAGGGTCTTTAACTGAGCAAAACTATAGTATATAAGACTGACATTTGGAGAGACAAGATGCACTTATGAAATGCCTAATACAGCATAACCAGGTCCTTACTTGAATCTTTAAAGTCTGTATGGGACTTGTGACCTTGGCTCACCAACTAGACAACACATCCTTTACAGGCAGGAACCAGGTCTTCTGTTTTCCAGCACACAACACTGCAAACGGGAATAACTATGTGTTGACCAAATTTTCCTCAATGGTAAATCGTCCTCCACTATCTTTGACAGTTTACAGCATCACAAAAAACACACAGGTTTTCTGTCTCCACCAATTCCATTACAGTCACCATTAATCAAACTAAAATGCTACTGCTGCCATTGCTACTTCCTTGGCTGAAAAGGTGGGACTTTCCCTATTTATATGCGTACAGCACAGGGCACCAAACTCTCAGCCCTACCTGAAAACCTAACTTCATCCCAGATAGCTGACTATACAGGGCTTACTCAGATGTTAGCGCATAAACAAGCATTCGCTCCCTGTTTATTGCCTTTTAAAAGCTCGTGAAAAATGTAAAAAAAAAAACTTGAGATTAAGTAATTTCCCTTAATAATGAACTTACCAAGTCAGCAACCTAATTTAATGTGGTTCTGCATACATTAAACCTGAAATGTTCTAAGCACAACTCCCCAACACAGGCTGGAGAACAATGTCACAGAAGTCACACACAGAAGGCTAGACTACTTAACTTCACCCTAACCCCAAAACCAAACCCCGTTGCCTTTGAGTCGATTCCGACTCACAGCGACCCTACAGGACAAAGTAGAACTGTCCCATAGGGTTTCCAAGGACCGGCTGGTGGATTCGAACTGCCGGTCTTTTGGTTAGCAGCCAAGCTAACCCGGGATCCCAACTTCACCCTACTCTCTGTAAGAAAAAAGGGCAACAACACTACGTTTTATACGATATAAAGTGGTCTATATGGTTTAACAGAATTACATAAAACCAGAAAAGGAAAACTTTTCAAGAACACCTATAGTTACTTATTGCAACGTATTTCTTTGGGAAACTAAGTTTATATAGCAGAACCATCTGCACAATGAAAGCATTCAAAAACGCATGAGTCGAAGAAATCGGAGTATTTTATTCAGTCTCTTGAGTTTTTCTAAAAGTCACCACATTTTATAAGCAGATCCGGTTTGAGAGCAGAATGTAAATCCAACCCTTCCTTTTATAAATCTCAGCCTCCTGAAGAGTAGGAGCTTCCATTTGCCTCTTCATGGCTAAATGGGTTTGAAGTCCTAAGGCACCTGAACAGTCGCCAAGTCTAGCTAACTACGCACCACCCCAATGGCTCAAACGAAGCCCCGCCTCGTACGGCCACGGTAACTGAACATGAAGGGAACTCCAGGAAAGGTTGTCCCCGGCCACACTTCTAGTCTCTGATGACTCTCTGCCCCTCCCCCCACCATCACAGCCGCGGAAGCATGGTCAAGAGCACGAGCCGCACTCGATCGCCCAGAATCTTCCGAAAGGACCTTGAGCAACCTCGCGCCAACAACTACAGCCAAGAGGGGCGTAGCGGTAACCCTGGCCCGACTTTCCCGGCTGCACGGTGCCATCCACGCCGCATGGAGCAAAACCGAGACAACACCTCTGGCACCCGGCCCTAGTGCCCCAGGCAGAAGGCATGGCCGAGACACAAGAGTAAGTCCCGACACCTCCACAGCTCCCAGTCAACAGGGCTCCTCCCACCCCACGGAAACACAGGGCGGGGCAGATGTAGGCGCCGCGACTACCAGCCAGATCCAACAGCGGGCTTTCCCGAGCCCCGCCTCACTTGCCAAGGAGGCGGAAACTCGGGGAGAGGGGCGGCCAAGGGGAGTGGCATGGCCGCTCCGCACGGCCTCTCCGGCCAACCGGATCCCGAGAAGGCGGAGGAACTCGGACTTCACGCCCCCTTCCCTGCCTCGCCCTGAAAGCACACGCGGGAGACCCCCTACCCGTCCCCCACCTCAGCAGGCCAGAGCGCGGCCCCCCGCCCGAGGCCCCGCCCACCTCAGGCGGACAGGGGGTGGTCTGCGGCAAACAGCACTTAGCGCGAGGCCGGCCCCGCCTCTTCCTCCACAATCGCACGCGCGCGCCGGCCCCGCCCCTGAGCGGCGGCGCGAGAGCCCGCCCCCTCCGCGCGCACCGGGACTACGCTCTCCTCCCCCTCCCGCACCGAGAGCTACCCCGCTCCGCCCCCCCCCCCCCCTCACACATCCACACACCTCCCGCCCGCCTTCTCTACGGGAAGCCGGGGAGGTCAGCCCCCCTAAAAACACACACCCTCGAGTCCGGCGTTACCCGCCACCTAAACTCTCCCCCCACCCCCGACCCCTGGCCAGCGTGCTCTCACCGCAAAGCTGCTTCAGCCGCTCGTCACTGTGTGTCCCTCTCAGCGTGAGCCTCGGGCTCAGCAGGGAGGCCCTGAGAACGGCGCGGGGCGCAGGCCCGCCGAAGCGGACTGGCAGCCTCCTCTCCACTAAGAAGCGGCCACAGACCCCGGTGCCCAGCCTGGGGAAGAGGGAGGGAGGGAGGGAGGGAGGGAGGGAAACTCCAAGGGGGGAAGGGGAGGGGAGGAAGATGGAGAAACCGTCTTCGCCGCCTCTACCGCCTCGGCCGCTTCTCTGTTACCCGGGAAATCCCGCCCACTCTCCCGGCCCGCCCCGCAGAGGGAAGACTCAACTTCGTCCCGCCACAGGCCGCAGCATCCGCCCGTCAAAGATTCAGCCAATCGCTACGCCCCGTCTGCTGACTCCCCGCCCCTTCCCACCGGCTGGAAGGGGAGGGGGAGCCGCTCACCTTCTCCACGCCCCTATTGGCGGGGAGCTTCCCCAACTCAACCCCGCCTATTGGAGAGGGATCGCTGAATCCCACCCCCAAGTCGCAACACTATTGGAGGAAGCATGGAAGCTCTTTACGTCTCATTGGAGGACACTACATATCCCGCCCCATACTGTCTCACTCACAGGCCCAACAAGTCGGCTCCCGCCCCCGCCGGTCATAGCATTGGAAGGCGGCTATCCCGGGCTCTCCCACCGCCCCAAGAAGGTAAGTAACCGATGTGGGGTAAAATGTCCGTAAGTGAAATAGGCTCCTCCTACCCCACTGCCGGGCCAGGCCCCACCCCTAACCCTCGGATTCGATAGCTTGGCGCCGGTGGGAGCCGCCATAGGTCAGGACGCACGTCTAGGAAGGAGCTGACTCCGCCCTGCGCGAGGAGGCTGGACCTTAGCAGTCCTTTTGTGGAATGTTTACACTAGAGACTGAAGCTCAGAGTTCCACGGCCCGAGACTGCGGATGGCGCGGAGATCAGCATCCGATATACCACGTCCTGGGATTTGAAGAGGAAAGGCAGCACATTACCCCCTTGGAGGACCCACTTACCAAAAAATGAAAGAGAACCTTATCCTTCCCATCCAATTCTCTCCTTACACTTTACATTTCCGCACAGTGCCTCCTAGAAAACACAAATATATATCCAGAGCAGCCGGCAGCTCCTTTCAGCCAGTAGCGTACAAAATTAAGGGCTGGAAACCTAAGCCAGAAAATAGCCCCAGGGATTGCCAGCCCGCCACTAGAGCTGGCAGCTTACTCCTAACTCTGACACTCCCTAAACCTGAGTATGCAGTCCTAAGAGGGAGGAGATAACCAAAAGAAAGGCAGGGCCCTAGCAGCCGCCGCCCTGGCAAGCCTCCGGGAGGCGGAGCGTGAGATGTAAGACATTCGCGATCTCCCGGGTAGGTCTGAAGGCGTCCTCAGACTCAAGGACTGAGGAGGGAGAGGTAAAGACCAAAACAGACCACGGCAGAAATGAACCTTGAGGATATATCTACACTTGATAAAGGATAAAAATTAGCTGGGGGCAAAAGATAAGAACTGTTGTTCTCTTCCTCCTCGGCTAAAGAGCGTTAATAGCAATCCCTTGACCCTTTCGATGTAGGTAATAGTGCCTCGAACACACCAGGAGACAAAGTGCTTACGATACCTAGGTTACTTTTTTTCATTCACCAATAGAGCTGAGGACTGACGCTGGCCTTGGTTTTGGGGGCGCTCTAGCAGCACCAGGAAAAGGGGCGGGACTAGAGCGTTCCCGCTCACTCCTGCAAAACGCTACTCCTCACAGAGAGGCGGATGTGTCTCGAACTGGCAGGCCACAGGGAATCTGTTCCTAGGTCCTCCTACCCTGTCCTCCCTCCTCAATCCAGCAGAGACGGCCAGAAACGAGCGCTGGCAACAGGTGGGCCTGACTCCAAGGATGGTTCAGAGCCGCGAGGCCACGGCAGCGAATTGTGAACTCCACAAGTAGCCGACAGGTGGGAGCAGCCTCGCCAAGGAGTCAAGCCTTGCGCCTGAACGGAGCTCTAAAAATAAGTCAGGTCGACGAAAGCAACCCCCGGGCCAAACCTCTCGGAGGTTACGAAGAAACGACATTTTGGCAGAACGGACCAAGAGATGCCTTTAACCTCGGGCCGGCCCCCTTCCCAGGACTGGATGCCGCAAGTCCTCCCAGCTGGACAAGGAGAACCACATCGAACCCAAGCCAGAAGTGGACTGCCTCTGGTCTTCTCTGCCCACAGGGAGACGAGCTGCCCCGAATCATGCCTAAGACTCCCAGGCCAACCCTAGACAGCCAACGACGCTAGCTACCTTGCTCTGTGAAGAAAAGACACTGCCAGCGTCCACAGCGATCTCTAGCTTAAGCTAATGACAATCTCCTGGAAGTCAAGGGGCCGCTAGTGTGCGAGAATAGCCAGGCAGCAGTCAGAACTTTAATACTTAGCCCCAGCCGGGAAGGGCAAATTTCACCCTCCTCCTCTCAAGTCCTGCAGAATCCCGGAGCTACGTCCCCCAAATCCACTCCACACGGTCATCCCCTAGTTGTACCACGAAGGCTACCAGATTTCGATTCTTGGAGGGATCTTTGTTGTGCCTTCTAGGCTCTCTCCCTTGCTCCCCCCCCCCCGCCCCACCAAGGGCGCCGAGCTCAGGACTTCCGGGCGGGAGGGCAGTTCGAAGAAGCCGGGCGGGCCCCATACATGTGCGAAGCGCGCACAAGAGCGAAGGGAGGGGGCAGGGACGAGGGGTTGGCTTTTTCCTCCTCCCAGCTCTCTCCGCCGGAGGAGGCGGAGCTATCCATTTCACCAATTAGAAATAGGGGTGGGACCTTGCGCTTCACGTAAGCCGCAGGAATCCTCCCTCCGCCCTTCACGGAAAAAAAATCCTAGCAACTTAAACTCCGGCCCGGCCTCCCGATAGGCGGAGCTCGGGAGAATGTCATCCAATTGGTAACCAAGAAGAGAAAGAGAGAGTCTCGCCCAGCCAGTGGAAAACAAGAGAAGGCGGAGCCTCTGGAGAAGCCCGAGGTGGGTGGATGAGACGGCCCCGCCCCTCAGCTACCCTCCTGGCCGGTTGCACAAGGCTCCGCCGGAGTGTAGTAAACAGGCTGGGCCAATGAGTGGAGGCAGGGGTAGCCCGGTGCTCCAGGGGTCCAGTCCCCTCGGCCTCCTCAGCCGGCGTCGCCCCGCCCGACCCCTGCAGTTCGCGCCCGCTTCCCGGCTCGCAGCCTGCCGGAGGCCGCCATCCCGACTGACAGGCGCGCTCCTCGCGCCCCTCCCCGACCGCTGATGCATTTCCTTTTCCCGATTCCAAGCGTGGAGTCTGTTTTCCCAGTTTCCGACCTTCACTGCCCCTTTCAGGCCACCCCCTCTAGGGCGCGCGCACACGTCCGCCCCCGCGCCCTATTCGAGGCCGAGCGGCCCGCAGCGGCACCTCGCGGGAAGGGGGAGCCCGACAGCGGCGCAGCCGGGGGAGGGGAAGGGAGCAGCAGCAGCAGCAGCAGCAGCAGCGCCGCCACCGCCGCCGCCGCCGCGGGGTGGGAGGGGAAGGAGGCAGCTCCATGTTTGCAAGGGGATCAGCTGGGGCTGCGGGTCGAAGCCGCCGAGTTCCTGGAGGTTTTCCAGACCCCCAGGCCGAGCTCCGCGCTGGTTCGCGGCCTGGCGGGTTCCGGCGCCGAACGCTAGCTCCACTGCCACGGCCCGTGAGTTCGGAGAGCCCCAACCGGCGCGCGGGGCTAATGCCGAAGCGCGGAGACTCTTTCCGGTGGCCTCTCCCGCCGCCGGCCGCCCCTCCCGCTAGTCCCGCGTTGCCCCCGCCCCCAGAGTCCTTAACAACCGCGGGCCTTCGGCGCCCGCGCCTCCCCGAGGCGCGCCCACCGCCACCTCCGACAAGTTTTCGGGCAGAAACAAAATCCCTGGGGCGGCTGCCGCCTTCGTGCAGCGTGATTAGCGGGGAAAGGCGCGGGCCTCGGCTCGCTTGCTAACTCCAGCTCTTGACCAACTCCAGGCGCCGCGGGCTCAGTGGGCCCGGCCGGCCGGCCTCGGGCCGCCGCCCCCTGCCGATCCCGCGCGCCGCAGCCTGGGCCTGGTTCCAGTCGGTGTACGGAATCCCCCATTTTTTCTTTACAAATTTTTTCGAAAGGGAGGGACATTCCAGGAGCAGGGAATCTCCTCCTGTCTACCCCTTCCCCATTCCGCCGCCGAAACCTACCGAAACCGACTGCTCGGTGAAATAAACTAGGCGGAGCGGCTGGCGCCCTGGCGACCCCGGGCCGAGCCGGCCCCCTCCCCACGTCTCCCGCCCGGCTTGGAAACACACACACTGGCAAGCGGGCGGCGCCAAGAGCTCTCCTTCCTGGCCTGCCCCTCGCCTCCCTCGGCCGCCGGACTCCGAGCCTCTCCCTGGCTCCGTCCCGCGGCCCCGTGGCGCCCGCACCGCGACGGGCTGGCCAAAACGAGCGGCCGGCAGACTAGCCCCCCAAACACCCGAGATTTGGGGGACCAAATTAAAAGCAGCTGTTTAACATACCTTCCGAGCCAGGCGAGGAGTCCTGAATGGGGGGGAACGCCCCCCACGGGCCATTGGCTCCCCAGTACTCACGTCAGTCATCCTGGGCCCTCCTCCTCTCTTCGCCCCGCCTCTTCCCCTTTATTACACGCCCCCTCCCTCCAAAAAAAAATATAAATAAACTCTCCGGGAGTGGGCAGCGCAACCATGGCAGAGGTCCCTATCTCTTCAGTCTTGGAGTGTGAGGCCCTCGGACTGGAGGGAAGCCTGCTGGGACTTGAGGATCCGCAGGTGGACCCGGAGGAAAAGGGAGCAGGGCTACCCGGCCCCCACTTCCTTCACACACACACCCTTTGGAGCTGGACAGAGGCGGGAAAGGGCACCCTAGCGCCTGACTGGAATATCTGGCTGTGACCTAACCGTGTCTGGCCCCCTCTCTTAGGAGCCTAAAAATGAGTGATGCAAGCGGAACCCCTGCATCCGGGACAACAGGCACTTGTCTGAGCACCTTCTGTGGGTGAGGCAGACACATTAATACCGCACCTGCTGCTGGGTGCGTTCACAGAGGCTAGATGAGATGCTCACTCCACACTGTCCAAGGAGTCCTGGTCCAGCCGAAGAGATGATACAGAAAGCGCTAACTCAAGACAGCAATGTGTACATAAATAGACATCTCTAGGCGCTCAGAGAAGGGAGATTTCTTCCAGCTGAAGGAAAATTAGGAAAGGTTTCATGGAGACATTCAAGTTGGGTGTCACAGGAGATTTCATCAGGCAGAAATGAAAGGGCAAAAAGTCATTTTCAGCAAAGGGCACAAAGTGGTAGGTGCAAGCATTGTTAAGGTCCTTCAAGTGTAGCTGGAGTAGTTAATGAAAATTAAAGTTGGAAAGATGGGACCAAACAGAGGAAGGCTTTTAATACCTGGTTAAAATGCTTGGAACTGCACAACTCAATGTTTCTGAGCAGGATGATCACAGGACCACACAAAAGGCCCAGAATTCTGGTCTAAGATGCTCAAAGTCACAGCAGCTTGATGGGTTCTGAGGGTAAACTAAGTGAGGAGTGCCTATAGGCAGCAAGGCTAGGCCCAAGGCTGTTGTAATGATGGGTTGGAAACTACAGGAGGCACATTATAGCACTCAAGTCAAAGCCCTGACTCAGATTCTTCCCTGCATTATTTGCTGTGTTTGTCATAACTCCCAACCAAAAGGAACTCCGGGTGGGGGTGGGGCGGGGGCAGCCCACATGCCTGTGTTTAATAGAACTGAGCCTGTGGTCAAGGCCCAAAATGTGTGAGCAAGAAAGACCTGTTGATTGAGGCAGCCCTAACCGCATGTAGGCAGTGAGGAAAGGAAATTGGTATGGATGAGGTGGGATGTGCAGAATATGAAGGGCCTTGGAGGCCTGTGAGCAAAATAGGTGCTTGCTGCTGTTTAGGAGGCTGCCCTGACAGTGGAGGTGCGCTGTTTAACGAGGACCGGACTGGGGCAATGGCAGTGGGGAAGAGAGTAATAAAATAGATGTGTTTGACAAAGACTCAAGGGGAGTGGTTGACTGGTTCATTGTAGGTAGTGGAGGGAAGGAAGTAACCAGTGGCCTGCTGTGTGAGGAGGTATGTGAAGAATTTGTGGCCAGTGGTTGGGTAATGTGGGTTCTAAGCCTAGCATGGCCAGTGACTGGTGATATATCCTTAGGCAAGTCCTTTCTCCCTCTGGACCTGTTTTTCCCCTGTGAAATACGAGTGGAAATTGGAGTAGAAAGACATCCCCTAAAGACCCTTCCCTCTCTCAGAGAGTCCATGTACCTGCCCCAGGTGTTCGTGTGTTGGGGGAGGGGAGTCTTCCACTAAACAAAGAAGGCAGGTAGGAAGAAGTGCTAATTTGGGAAATGTAGTGGGTCACCCCAGGCATCTCAGCTGGTGGACCACTGAGGGGAAAGGTGTAGAGGGGGAAAGGCCAGATGAGGACTGTGTGTTTAGTAGGAGGCCCAGGACCTGGCAGGACCATGGAGGTCAAGTTTCACTCTCAGAACAGGGGCTCGCTAGGGTGACGACCAGAGACCCCTGGATGTCTGGAGCCCCCATCTCAGATTCTTGCTGTATTACCAAGGAGCTCTGCCCTTGCTGAAGGCATAATGGATACCAACTGTGTCAATGTGGGATGAAGCAGAGGGCTAGAGCAGTAAGAACACTAGCTTGGAAGTTGAGCCCCGTGGTCCCCACTCAGTCCGTTATTATCTGTGGATCAGCCTCCCCTCTAGTACAAGAGGATAACATAATCCTTGCCCTGCTGTTCTCAGGCTTGTTATGATGATAAAACGCACTTTAATACGCCTGAGGTTCTGTGCTTCTGTGGAGACTAAAGACCCAAGCATTTGACTGAGCCTGGGCAGCAAGTGGTGTGTTGTGGATGAAATTACTTATGAAGCATTTGCAACTAGAACAGCTACCCCTACTCAGAGAACTAGGTTTCCCTGACATTCGCAGCCCTAAGTGCACCACCTTGTTGGGGACTCCCCCCTCAACATCCCTAAGCTGAGCTCAGGAGGTCACTTGGAAGGAGTCCAGTGATTTTTTCTGACTCAGTACATTGATGCCTGCACAGCCAACCCCAGCCTCTTTGAGAAAGCGAATATTTGATTTGGTGACATTGGCCCTCCAGCTGCACTGAGTGTTTCATCCGCATCCCCCTCCATGCCAGTGACAACAGAGCTGCGAATGGATCTGGGTAAGGGCCCTCCTTGGGGAAATCATGTTGGGATGCCAGGTTCTGATTCCCAGGAGGCCTCTTTTGTGTGAAACATCCCACAAGTTTTTTGAGTTAGGGATTCTTAACCTTATTTTTCAGATGAGCAAACTGAGGCTCAGAGCAGTAGACTGACATTCCCATGTCAAGTAGCCAAGACAAGTCTATCCAGCCCAAAGCCTGAGCTTTGTCCCCACATGCTGTCTCTGTACACACTGCTGCCTGAGATGAGCTCCAGGCTGGGACCCCTGCAGAAAAGTCTCCCCTCTTGCTCCACACTTCTCACCTCCCTAAGAGCAGTTTGTCCCCAAATAGTTCATTTCTAGCTTTTTCAAAAAACATTATCATCCTCAAAACAGCAAGATTTGTCTTCCAATCACACACATCCACACAGCCCTCAGCTCACAACACATATACTCAAAACTACCACACCTTCTGACATCCACAATCTCACACACACAAACACCCTCATTCACAAAAAGGACTCATTCACAGTTCATTAGGTTGCTTGTGGTGATAAAAAGACATTCAGAGCCTGCACTTCTATGCCCTGCTGACAGAACCTCTGGCAGCTATAGAAGGCAGCCATAGCCTGCTTGGAAATATCCAGGTAAGAAGCATTTGAGGCTTTATGCTGGAATCTGAGGCTAGCTCCCCACCCCCACCCCAAAGCACCCTATAGGTTCAAGGGGAAAAGTTCAAGCTATTGGTCAGGATTCCAGTTCAGCCACTTCCTAGCTGGATGGCTTTATCCTTTCAGTTTATCTGTAACTAAGAATATCTACTTTAGTGGCCTGTTGTAACATTAAAGTATGCCTAGCATTTAGTCAAGAGTTCTCCCACCTTTTTCTTTATCCCATCCCCACCTCGTCCTCTCCTGGTCATTCAGATGCCAAGTCCCTGAAGCTGGAGTTCTAGCAGTGAGTCCAGGAGCAGGCCCAGAGGACCAAACAACCCTACTGTGTGAAGAAATTTCACTTCTCTGGCAACCAGCTGGCGTAGGATGTATATATTCCATTCTGATTTCTGAGTGGCCTTGGAGGCTCGGGAATTTTGAGTGGGTATTAAGACTGCCACTCTCTGCCTTGAACTGCCTTCCCCTCATTCAGCGTTAGTTTACCCCTCTGGGTTGCTTCCAGACCTAATCTGGAAAATCCATATCGTAACAGTCTATTCCCTCAGATTACCGGGATTTATGCTTTCAAAGTGTTTCCTCTGTATATCAGTTGTTTGGTGATTATTTTTTTTAAGCGGCAGATTCCTTTGTTCAAATGAAATCTTGAGAGGTCTAGTATGTAAGAGATAAAGATAGGGCTTGCTTTGGTTGAAGTGGCGGCAGTCAGAGCACTGTAGTCTCTACTTCGCCTTCCACTTGTGCCTCCCCTCCTCCTCCTGACAGACCCTGCCCCAAGAAGACAACTAGTGAACCCATGTTTCCAAATCTTGTTCATTCATCCCAGCCATTCCCCACCTCTCAACAGCCTGTGACAACCCAGCCTGGCCTTATCCTCAGGTTACCTCTGCCTATTGATCAGTAACATTGAGGGGCTTTTCTTCCTCTACCCATCTTCTAAATGTTGGTGGCCCCCACGGGTCTCCTCTCTTCTTGCCCTCCTCAGTCTTAGCTGATCCCACCCACTTCCAATGCTTATTACTTCTATCTAGACTAAGTCCCAAATTTACATTTCCAGTCCAGTATCTGCCCTGAACATTAGACTTCAACTGGCTTCTGGGCACAGGTAGTCATTAAAGGTCAAGGAGGTAAAACAGAGACCCCACAAGATGAAATGGCTGACCTCTGCTCAGTTGCACATCTGCTCAGTCCCAAGGCTTTTAAACTATATTGTGGCTTAGAGAAGTAGCCAGGTTTTAATGTGGGGGAGGAGTAGCAGAGAGTGAGCCTGGAGTGGGGGAGGGTTGCTGTGCCTTTTTTTTTGTTTGTTTTACTACTCTCTTAAATCTCACTGTCTTGCTTTCCTACTACCATAGTCATAATCTTAACAACTATCATGTATATATTACCCTAAATTCTTGAAAAGGCACCACATTTTCAGCCCCCATCCAACACTCCCAACTAGGATTCTAGAATAGTTAGCTTGGCCTCAGCCAGAAAATATTGGGTATTTAAGACTGCATCATCTCAGATTTAGCTTAGACAGGAGGAAGGATTTTATGATAGCTATGGTAAAGGGGTGGAGAAAGGTCAAACCCTGCAACAGGTTTTACAGAATGCTAGAATTTCTACTTGTGGAGAAGACCCCAGTCTTTCCTGTGGTCAGTCAAGAGCAGTGCACCCCAGAACACTTGATATTTACTGAGTAACTGCTGTGTGATGGTAACTATAGGGTACATACCTCCCAAGAGAAAATCTGGTTCCCTTGCCCTCAGGAGGTTCCCCTGTGGGAGCTTCAGCTCCAGCCCTAGGTAAGTTAACCATGGTCTGTGGGTAGTGACCAAGGCCGGAGACAAATCTGAGCCAAGATCAGGACTGGGAGCTCTGCGACCTTGGTCAATTCATTCCTTGGCTCTGAGTTACCCTGTCTGCCCCACATGCAGCAGCAGTAAGGAAGCCTTAAAGGCTGAGGCCTATGGGCTGGTCTTGAGGAAGGCAGGGAGACTTGACTTGCTTTCCATCCAAATTGGGGACCTAGTGGGAAGGAAAGTGAGGGAATACGGAGAAGTGGCAGCAGCTTGAAAGAAGAGACTTTGAAAATAAGCTCAAGTAGGAGCCAACCCAAGTGGAGAAGTGCAGGCCTGATAGTTCCTCTGCGTGTCTTCCCACTGCCCAACAACGAACTAAACCCTCAGAGTCACAGGGCTCTTAGGACCATCTACTGCAGCTTCTTCTGGGACTTGGCATGTGTTGAGTGGTGAGACCTCAAAACTACTAAAAAGTTGAGTCACTCCAGGAAGGCTTTTCTACCTGGTCAATGCCTCTTGGCTCACCTCTCTCTAGGTCTCTCTGATTTGTGAGAGGGGTGTGTGTGTTTGTGTCTTGTTGAAAGACTATGAGGGCAAGAGCCACATCTCCCTCATTTCAAGATGCTAAAATAGTCCAGTTCCCCTAGAACCAGTTCCACTCTGTCATTTATCTGCATACTGTCACATGGAAGCTGACAATGGTGGAACCCCTAGACTGAGACTGCTGAGGCACCCTTCCCCTCAAAGGTCCCATACTAACCAACCAAAAAAAAAACCCATTGCTGTCAAGTCAGTTCCAACTCATAGCGACCCCACAGGGTTTCCAAGGCTGTAAATCTCGATGGAAGCCAAATGCCACATCTCTTTTCCCACAGTCACTGGTGGTTTCAAAGCGCCAACCTTTCAGTTAGCAGTCGACCACTTTAACCACTGCACCATTAGGGCTCCTTATACTAGCTGACACGGATGGGCAAAATGAAGGCAGCAACAGGCACATGAGAGGAAAAGTGGGATTAACACTTGTGTTTGAAGAATTATATACCCTGGGAATGCTAGAGGGAGTAAAGCAAAAAACAGCAATCAAATCAGAAGCAGTTGCCTGCTTTTAGCTCGCGATGCTCTTTCCCCCTTGAACTCTAAGTCAGCTACACAATCTGGCATTTGATTGTGGGTTCTCTTGTTTTGTTCACTAAGTTGCCTGTGTGAGAGTCTTGACTCCTCAAACAGATTCTGGGTTCCTTTTCTGCTTTCCCCTTCCTTTACATCCTCTAATACACCTAGAATAAATAGGCTCACACTGAACATTATCTTCCCAATGGTAAAAGCTACAAGCAAACTATGGCAGTGGGGGGAAAGCTATTGATCCCTTTCTTTCAGAGTTTGCCTGAAAATTCAGAAGACATCAGTTTGAGTCAGGGACATGGACTCAGTGATTCCCATACCTGGCTCATCCTCAGTCCCTCAACCACCTACTGGGCAGAAACCGGGAATCTGCAGTTTAATGAAGCTCTGCAAGTGATAACCTCCTCACCAATCCTCAGATACACGAGGAACCCCTGCATAACTTCTGAATTTACAGAGCAGTTGGGTTACAGCCTCTTCAAATAAGTGACACTTCAAGTCTACCTCCTCCAGACCTTTTATTATTAAACTCATTCCCTACCTATTCCACGGAACCCCTAACCTCTCTGATTTCCCAGATTTCAGAGAATCTCTGTTCACCTCTTAGGCTTCCCCCCAAAAGAATGGAGGCTCTTCTGGGGCAAGGACTGGCTTAATACTTTGCTCCACACTTTAGCTCCTGATTAAGGTACGAAACTCAAGAAAAACTTGTTGGCAGACCAGGAGATGAATCCTTAGAGGCAGTCTAGTCTAAGAGTTAACAGCACATGGAATCAGATGGTTCAGATTGTTTGTGGCAAATGAACTTTCCTATGCCTCAGTTTTTTCTTCTGTCAATACCTACCTAAAAAGGTTGTTTTGAGGATGAATAATACCTAGAAAGCACCTTGAACAGTGCCTGAAATAGAGTAAGCACATAGTAAGTGTTAGCTCCTATCATTATTATTCAGAACACCCCAATATTTGCACTTTCTCTAGGACAGAACTGCCCATTGGGCAGGCTGTCACTGGCCAACATGGTCAAGAGTAGTTACGTGGTGTGGGGAGTGGTCTACAGGGATAAACCTTTTGGTTCCATTCTCAGAGAGATGCAAATGACTAAAGACTTTCCCACAGCACCAAAGACAAGCATACCCATACGTATAGGAGTTTCCCAGGGAGTATGACCTGTTTGGTACTCAGCAGTCCTGAGGCCCCTACACCAGGAGGTCCTATCTGGGAGAACCAGCCACCAACCCTAAGTCACCCTTCTAGTCCACTACATGCAACACGGGCTCAAGATCAACTAGCTGACTGATATGGCTGGAATCTAAGAACTGTTTATATTCTGGCCTCCAAAGGAAAAACACTGTCCTGATTTTTGAAAGACAGGTGCTAACAATGGAAAGACCAAAGACTTCATAAGCAGACCAACTTGAGCCCCAGTTCTAGAGCAACTATATAGAAATGGGGTAAGAATAGATAGGAGAAGGGAACAGAATAATATCTCACTGGATTGTTGTGAGGTTTGAAAGGGGGAATGGGAAAGAAAGTACTGTGCACAGACCTTGGCACCCAGCAAGGACTCAAATAATGCTGGTTCCCTTTGTTCTCCCAGAGCCAAGGCCATGACCTACTGACAAGGTGAGTAGCCTTCAGAACTGAAAACCTAAAATACTAAAGCCTTGGGCCCCTCCCTACCTCCCCATCCCTCCCAGACCACCTCCTGGGCCCCCTCCTCACTTCCCAGCCCCAGACTGCTAAATTGATGAAGCTAAAAGGGTTTGATCATGTCGGTATATTTATATGTAAATACAAAACTGTATCGCTGTAAGATATTGAATAAGAACATTTACAATTATTTCTGAATCTGACTCAGTTCACTGATGTTAAATACAAAATGAAGATTGTAAAAATAAGAATATACACATTCAAAGAGCTTATTACAGTATAAAATTATTGAGGTTTGATCAGCTGCCAACCTCATCTTCTGTGATAGGGGAAGAAGGTTTAGGGGTTCCTGGCATTTTCTTGGGAATGTGGAATACTGGGGACTCTGGATTCCATCCCGGGCACATCAGGCTGGGTGGGCTGGGAGCAAGCAGGGCGGGTTGGGTGGGTAGGAGGCAAACAGTGATTACAGGGGACCACCTCACCCAGCCAGGGGTTAAGGTTTTCATTGGCACAGAACCCACCTAGCTCAAGCTCAAGGGTCTGGCAGGCTAGTAGGCAGGGAGAAATGGGGCAAGTTGCATAAGGAAAGGAACACTCCAGCAAAAGAAAAAGAGGCCCCAGCTTGGATTCTCATAGTAGTTTCCTCTCCCTCAGACCTGGCCTCCCCCTTTTTACTTCTAAGACTTCGTACCGATTGCTTTTGGCTCTGGCTGCTCAGTGAGCTCAGCTCTACCTCCAGACCCCCATCTCTGAGGGACAGTGAGAGGGAGGAAAAGGTCTGGAATCACAGTGGAGGTCTGTTCCCAAAATTGGCAAAGTAAACAGAGAAAAATCATTAGATAAGGGCAATCCATGCTGAATTATGTCAGTGTCACCACAAACCAGTATTCTTGGCTTCAACAGGCAGCATCCTAAAGGGAGAAAAACCAGTTGCCGCTGAGTCAATTCCAACTCACAGCGACCCCATGTGTGTCAGAGTAGAGCTGCACTCCATAGGGTTTTCAATGGCTGATTTTTCAGAAGTAGATCACCAGGACTTTCTTCCATAGCGCCTCTGGGTGAACTCGAACCTCCAACCTTTCGGTTAGCTGAGTGCATTAACCGTTTGCACCACCCAGGGACTCCAGGGGGAGATAAGTCATTACTTAAGGATAAGGGTCTGTGGCAGGAGCATGAAGAGGGGATATGTGTGTGTCCTCTTCCACCACTCTGTGGTCTGACAATAGGAGACATAATCCCCAATCCCAGCTACTCCAGGATAAACAGCAGGGTCCAAGAAGCAAGCAGGCCTGAACTGCAACACAAAGCCCCCATGAACTTCTACAAAAGAGTATCTGTGTGTATATGTATTTATAGAATATGACCATATTATCACATACAATATATATTATATACACACGTACACATGGACCCATACAGATAAGTGCACATACACACACGCACACACACAGAATGACAGAAAAGACTGGAATACACGCCCTAGGTATAAAGGGGCTTGGCACTCGGGATGTTCTCTAGAATATGTAACTTGGTCAAGCTCTCTTGGGAGGAAGGAGGACGCTCACCAAACCTCCCCATCAAATTCTAGCAAAGGGAAGGAGTGGGAGACAGGAGACCTCAAGACGGAGAATGGCATTGGGAAGAGTGGGAGGCAGGTTCCTTCCCCACTTACCTCGGGGCCCCTGGCAAAAATCAATAGCCACAATTTGGTTTTAATAAGGCACAGTTCGATAGCAGGTGCTAGGAATTAAGAACACATTGCTGCTGGACCTTTCTAGTGGCAATTTTACCACATCTATCTAGCCAAAGGGAAAGGTTGCCTTGCGTGGACACGTGCGCCAGGAGTCACAAGAAAGAGGTTGGTCCATGGCTTCAGCGTAACTGATGGCAACCTATAGGCTCAGCAGTGTCCAGGGAAGTTTAAGGAAGGATGGCCAGCAGGTGGGAGGCTTGTGAGACAATTATTGACCCTCCACGGCCAGCAGGTTGTGGCTGGAAGGCACCATGCCCTCCCTCTCTGCGAACTCCAGGATGGCCTTGTAGCAAAAATAGTACTGCTCAGGGGTCTGGATGCTGAAGGCCCTCTGGGTCCTCATGCGGGACACCGTCTGGAACACATTAAGGGTGCCAAGTTCCTCCAGCTGTGCCAGGCAGATGTCCAGTGAGCAGAAGGTACCTGAAGAAGGAAGGAAGTGGTCACACCTGGTTTACCTCTCCTCTCTCCCTCCCCTCTACCAAATAACCCAAGTCAGACTGGATGAATGAATTCAAAGGCAAGTTGCCTCATGGCAGGAGGCCAGCTGGCCTTAGGCCTGAAAGGGAAGAGGAGGCCAGAGGGAGTGTTAGAGGCCAGAGAAATGAGACCTCTTGTCTCTCAGGACACACATGGGGGTACAGGTAGAATAAGTTGGAAGACGGCATAGACAAACTTCCTGCTTCAGTCCCAGACAGATAGATAGACAGCACTCCCACACCTGGGCCCTAAATGCCAGAGACTCTACAGCTTGCCCACGGAGGCCTAACACAAACCCATTGTTCCTGACTTTCTCCCAGAGGGAACTGTCAACTGAGGACAGCAGTCCCTGCAATGCACATCCTCTTAAGGCAAAGACTTCTAACTGGCTCCAGAGTGGAGAGCACAGCACAGCACGGAGTGGGGATCCCTCTGTGGGGAAGAGGGAGGATAGGAAGCCCAGCTGAGCTCTCTCGGACACTCACAGTGACCTGGGTCAGAAGATGACCATGCTGCTGGGATGTACAAAGCATTAACCCCTAGAGGGCTTGACTTGTGAAGTGTTATATTCTAGCCAGTACCTAGCAATAGGGATACCAAAAGGACATTAAAGAGGGATTTTTCACAGCAATTCACCACCCATGGATCACATGAGTACTTTCTCGCAAACTGGCAACTTTCACAGATGTGATCTTAGAGCTTTGTTATTCCTTGCCCACCTCTACTGCCTCTCGATACATCAGGGGCTGCGTCAGGTGCATTACCTGTCCTGCCAATGCCTGCACTGCAGTGGACGACGATGGGTGGCTCAGGGGACTGCGCTTTGGAGCGTGCCCCCATGCTGCTGACGGCCAGCCTCTGCTGGTTCCTCACCACTCTCAAGAAGTCAATGAGGGAAGCTGCCGAGGAAGGTACACCATAATCTGGCCAGCTCAGGAACTGGAAGTGGGTCACCTGGCGTTTTTGCCTCTCCTTGGAGGAAAAAAGAAGGAAAAGTTAATGAGCTCATTTCTGCCTGCCCATGACTAACTTTGACTTTTCCAGATTCTCAATACCGTGGTACTCCCCCACTACACCAAGGCTCCTACCTATCAGTACCACCCTCAACTTTTCTCCACAACTGCTTCCCAACCACAAACTCTGAAGTACCCTGACCCAAAGGAAGGGTTAAATGCCTGGAAAGGGCAGAATTACTATACTGTAAGATCCAGATTTCTTAGATTACGAGCTTTATTCCTAAGTAATGCCACTGTGATGCGGAGACAACACGGAACACGGCTAATTGGCTCTGAGTTGAATATCCTGATCCTGTTCCCAGAAAAATGGAAGCAATTTATCATAATCTCCCTGGAAGCCTGCCTATTCCCTGTGGAGATTTTCTTTACAGTAGAAGTTTCTCCCCCAGCTTCAAAAAAGCAAGAAAACAGAAACCTGGATTTACCTCTGCATTATGAATTTCTAGGACGGTTTTCTTATAATGGTTCATATTCTCCACGCTTAGATTGGTCACTGTGAGGAAGCCAAATCGGATCCGAGAGTCTTTTTCTAGTGGCCAGTACTGACCACACTTCCTCCTGCCACCCTCTTCAAACCTGAAGACACACAGAGCAAGGTAAGCCCTCCATCTTTCCTCTCCACAGCAGTAACTCCACTCCCCCATGACCTGCTGTACCCTAAGCAGCAATGTCATTTCTTTCATTGCTTCTGTCTGACTTACAGACTTACTTCTTGGCAGAAAAGAAAGGAAACCTCTAAGCAGATGTAACAGAAGCTACAGTTTCTGCATTTCTCGTTTAGCAGACATTTATTGAGCACTTAATGTATGTGTCATTTGGTCCCTTTCCTTATATCTCATGGTACTCCTCACATATCTGTGATAAATACTGGGTGGATAAAGAAAGACAGCAGAGAAAATGTGGTGGGTCAGAGAGAACTCTCTGGTCTGTACCTCAGCCACTATCCATTCTCTTCCCTAATAAGGGCCCCTGGCTGACAGAGGAAGGGAAAAGGCATGGCTCCTGGGATGCCAGTGTGAGGTTTTTGTAAAGGCCTAAAGTCCACCTCACCACTCTTCAGTGGCTCCAAAGTACTCCAAGGTGGCACTTCTCCCACTACCTCCTCTCCAAATCAGAGGTGGTTATAATAGTGCCCTGGGGAAGGGAACTGAGCAGACACTGTCATTAATATTTTTCCTCCTCACCTGAAACACGGTATAATGATAATGATACTAATGAAATAGGTAATTCTAGAAGTTTTGGCAGATATACAGACCAAAATTTCAAAAATGTTCCTTTCATCAATGGCTTCCTTCCCGATCTAACTATTATGTTTCACCTCTCCTTTTTGAAATTCTCCTACAAGTAGAAATACGAATGGCCAAAACAGCAAGGAGGAGAACAAAGGAGGAACTGGTAACTCAGAAGCCAGGAAAACAGCTGCCCACTGGAAATAGGGGCCAGATTACAGGTGAACTGTCCCTATGTTTCCCAGTACATCCTTCAGTGGATAAGACCAGGGCCTCAATAGGTTGTAAGTGGCACAGAGGTCACCAGAGCCATGGATTAAATCTTTGACAAGTTAGATCTATCAATCTCCAGCATGCCCTGGCTGTGTTAACCCTGGGTCAGCTAAGAAAAAGCTAAGATATCTCAAATTCTTTGCCATGGCTTTCCTAATCTTCATTGTTCCTCAGAAGACTAAAGCTAAACTTCCCCTTGAATCACTCATGCTTGGGGACAGGTTAGGGGTAGGGACAGTAGGAGGAAAAGGGATGAACTCACCGGGTGGTCATGACAATCACTAGGACTTTTTGCTCCCATACCATTAGCCAGAAATCACGATAGGTATTCTCCAAAGGGCCTGGAATGAAAGCAGAAGACAAGGAACATGACCCTGGAAAGCACTTCTTTCTTTGGATCTTCTTTTGTTCTCCCTACTAGTAACTCCAAACCACAGATGTTGGCTCCCTGCTCTTCTCTCTACATCCCTGCTATTCACTGTGATCCTTAGACCAATAGCATCAGCATCATACGGGAGAGTGTTAGAAATGCAGAACCTGCATTTTATCAAGACCGCCGTGTGAGCTGTAGCTATATAACAGTTTAAGAAGCACTGGTATATACCCTCTCAGAGCCTTATCATCAGGGCTTCAGCTATCATAGCCAGGCTGACAGTGTACATGTCTCTATCTGTTTTCATCTCTCCTAAGCTTCAGCCTCATAACCACTGTTGTTGTTGTTGTTGTTAGGTGCCATTGAGTCGGTTCCCACTCAGACCGACCCTATGTACAACAGAACAAGAACACTGCCCGGTCATAATCACCAGTTGCCTACTAAATCATTTCCCTTCCATATTCCATCATCTCCTCAGATCCAACATGTAGGCAATTGAGCCTCCTGCTTCAAAATTAGCTTTATCTTTCAACTTCCATCTCTGTCACCAAGTCCCAGAGAGTTTTTGCCTTTGAAATGTTTTTGGTCTTCATCCTTTTGCCCCTTCCTCAATTTCACTGCCACCTCTGAGTCCAGGACCACATCACCTTTTTGTGTGAGTTGCTGTAACACTATCTTAGTTGGGTTTTTTTGAAAAAACACCATCTTATTTTACTGTCCGAAAAGGTATTCTTCCCTTCCAGTCTATTCTGGATACCCCAACCAGTTTAATCTTTAAAGAAAAACTGCTTCATCAGAATATAGACACGCCATGCTCACTTCGGTCTCTATTCCTTTGCTGGAGCTGTCTCCCTCACTTCCAAGACTCTTCATTTTCAAGTGCCACCTCTTCCTTGAAGTTTTCTCTGACCACCACACTCCTTGTGTGGCTCCCTCACCTCTGAGCTCTGGATGGCACAGCTGGATCCAAACAGCTTAACCATTTAATTTACATGGTCTTATTATCAGTCATTTTACTTTGTGGACATTAATGTCTCAGCAAACATGGTCCTGAGGGCAGGGGCTGTGCTGCTGAGTTCTCCTTTATAGATCAGAACCTGCACAGAGCTGGGCACTCAATGGGAACTTTGAAGATACTCATGGGCCATCGACTCCCTTTCAATAAAAAAAATCAAAACCCGTTGCCATCAAGTTGATTCTGACCCATGGTGACCCCATGCGTTAGAGAGCAGAACTGCTCCATAGGGCTTTCTTGGCTGTAATCTTTATGGAAGCAGATTACTAGGCCTTTCTTTCATGGTGCTGCTGGGTCAGCTGGAACCACCAACCTTTAGGTTAGTAGTCGAGCAAAAACCATTTGCGCCACCCAGGGAACTTCCCTCTCGATTGAGAGAGTAACAACTCAGGATAATTCCTTGTACTTTTCCATTGCTTTTTTCCTTCTGCTTTCAACGAAGTAGGGCAGTACCAAGGGTTGATTCTGCCTGGAAATCAGATGGGCTTTACCTACTGGTTCCACTACCATTTTTGCTAAAGTCCTTTAGCAAAAGCACTAATATTTTATGATACTGGAACTCTCCCTTTGTAGAAGTATGTGAGGTCTTGGAAACAAGCGAAAATGTTCAACAACAGAGAATTAGTTAAATTATGCCATAGCCATAATTTAAGTAGTCCATAAAGGAGATGCTGTAAGATCTGCTATGGAAAGGTATTGACAAGATACTATTACATGAAAAAGATAATGTATAGAAAGAACCCATTTTGTTAAATATTTTATGTGTATATATCTATGTATATGTATGTATCTATGTATGTGTATATATCTATGTATATTTACATAGCAATGTGTATGTATGCATAGAAAAAGGTCTCGGAGAAGATGCTACAAAATGTTTATGATATTAACTCTGGGTCCTAGAGTATGGTGATTTTAATCTTCATTTTCTAAATTTTCTACAGTGAACAAATTAGCCTTGTATGCATGTTAAGAAGATAATAAGAACATCTTTTTCTCATCTCCAACTCCCAACCCAGTTCTCATCCCACTATCCTGCATCACAGCAGCTCTCTTATACTTTATTTTCCACATTCAAACCACTGGCAGAATTGGGGGTTGCTGAGCAGTCAAACACCTGCCAACCCAGATACCACTCAGACTCAGGCTAGGCAAAAAAGAGCATAACTTCCTGAAAGGCAGAAGTGGGTGACTTAGAAGGGAAAGTTGCACTTCCCGGATTGAAAAAGGACAAAAAACAAAACCTTTTGCCTTCGAGTCAATTCCAACTAATAACAACCCTACAGGACAGAGTAGAACTGCCCCATAGGGTTTCCAAGGAGCAGCTGGTGGATTCTAACTGCTGACCTCTTGGTTAACAGCCAAACGCAGACTAGGCCCTTTAAATGGACCTCTCTGAAGAAACAAAGCCAAAGGTTTATGCTGGCATAGGCGAAACAATCCACTGACTTGGCTTGCAGGAACTTCTGAACCAAATAGGCATGGGTTCAAATCCTGGCTCTGCCACTCACTAACTGTATGATCCAAAATCACTTAACCGCCTTAGGCTTAAGTTTGCTCATTTATAAAATAGAATAATAAAACGTTCCTTGCAGAGTTTCTATAAGGATTACAGATTATGTACCTGACACATAATAGGAACTCTCAATAGATGACAGATACTGTTAGTAGAAATTATTATTGTGAATAAGAATCAGAATCCTGAATACAACCAAGGAGGTTAGCCCAGCAAATCAATCCAGCCTTCTCAATGTCACAGGCTACCCCTTCACCTCCAGCTTTAGCTGGAGCTATATATACACTTCATTTTCTGGTCCTGATAGAGTACTGAGGCCCTATAAATTTGATCAGCACTTGGCAGAAAAATCCTCCTTCTGATACTCCTAGAGGAGTTTTTTTCTGGACAGGGCCATCAGAGCCAGCCTAAAGCATTCTTGTAGTATGTCCACAATCTGGATTTGTCTGGTTTGTTTCTCGTGATTAGCTTCAGATTTTAAAACTAGCAACATACGACACAGTAGATGTTGTGCAATTCCCACTGTGCCACATTAGGAGGCATATAACATCTGTCTGTCCCATTATTGGTAATTGGTGATTGGTGATACTAAGTTTGATCACTTGGTTAAGGAGGTATACGCCCGAGTTCTTACTGGCCACGCTCGATATAATGGTCAAAGGGCCTTATGCCCATATGGTGGGCCCATTTTGTCCTCCTGTGTTGAATTCTTTCCACCCCCTATGGGGCGACCTGGTATTCTCCTTGAGATGGGCAGAGGCCAAGTTGGGAAGGGCACTGAGGTCCACAGGAGCATTTATAGAAACTCCATCTGAAATCCTCCTAGTCTAGTAGACTTCACTGTCAGACCGAGAGCACAGACTATCCACGTCAGAACACTGCTGGCCATGCTCTGTGATGGTCAAGGGACCAGCAAAGGCCTCTTAGGACAGCAACAGCCATTCATACACTGGATTCAAAAGGAATTACTGGAGGGAAGGGGGAAAGTGCAGAAGAAGGTAGCATCCAGAGTTTATCTGGGAGGTCCCAGTGCCAGACTTGGCCTCCTACACTAAACATGAAGAGCATATCACTGACCAGTGAGTTATGATGCTCTACTTCCTTGTATTGACAACTAAGACACAGTCCAAAAACTTGCAGGCAGTAGTGCTGTGTGTCCAAATCTCCAGTTTATTCCTATGCAGTGAGTTTCCAGGCACATCTGGTACAGAAACCCTGTACTCTCATCTGCCTTCCTCAATAACCCTCAATCTAGTAGTTATAAGATCACGTCAAGATACCATTTTCTTTAAAAATTATGCCATCATCTGTGCAAAGAATCACAGGTGGATGGCACAAAACCAATTTGTGAGGGGCAGGCCACCTTACCTTGTGTACCAATGTAAGCATTCTTCTGTTTGTAGCCGTCCATGAAACTGGCATTGATGTAATCTGTCTAATGATAAAAAGGAGACATCATTGCAGCTGTGTGGACTACACCATTTGGATAAGAAAATGATATACTAGGTAAATACAACCCAAGGTGTGGACAGTTTCTTATCAAGCAAAAAAATGAGTAAAAAGAACAATTCAAAACCTCACTTTAGCAAATAATACTGGGCAAACAGAGATCCACTTGCAGAATAATAAAGCTTGATTCCTTCCTCACACCATACACAAAATTTAACTCAAAATGGATCACAGACCTAAATGTAAGAGGTAAAACTATAAAACTCTTAGAAGAAAATATAGAAGTAAATCTTCGTGACCTTGGTTTAGGCAAAGCTTTCTTAGATATGACACCAAAAGCAGAAGCGGCAAAAGAAAAAATAAACTGGACTTCATTAAAATTAAAAGCTTTTGTGCTTCAAAGGACACCATCAAGAAAGTGAAAAAACATAAACTGGTATATGTTTTGCTGTGTATATTTTTAACAACAACAAAATAAAATAAAAAAGAGAGTGAAAAAGCAACCTGTATTTGCAAAGTATATGGCTTGGCAACCTGCTTCCATAAAGATTACAGCCAAGAAAACTCTATGGAGCAGTTCTACTCTGTAACACATGGGGTCGCCATGAATTGGCTTCAACTCAAAGACAAACAACAACAAAATATCTGATAAGGGACTTGTATCTAGAATATATGAAGAACTCTTACAGCTCAATAATTGCAGTGTGATGGATCACTTTTATATGGCCTTTCTAGCCATGGCCTTGTAACTCCGAAGCGATTGGGGTGGACTGTGCAGATATGGTAACTGTGGCCCACAAAAGGGATTGGTTAGTTTTGCCATCCCACTGGGCTTGAAATGAGTCACCCCAGTGGTAGGAGAAAGAAGACCCCACTACCACCAAGGAAGAACAGCTAGGAGCCTGCATGTCCTTGGACCCAGGATCCCTAAGTTAAGAAGCTCCTGGACCCAGAAAGTGACAGAGAAGCTGTGGCAGGAGAGACCAGCAGGAGAGGCTGTGCAGTGGGCTTTCTGGCCCAAGGAGCAAGAAAACTGAGTGCCTTCGAGCAGAGGCCTAGGGCCAGGGAGAGGCGTGCCTTCGAGCACAGATGGAAAGAGGCTGTCCTAATGGAGGAACTGTATCCTTGAGTGTTCCTGAGCCTGAAATGTAACCTGTTACTACCCTAATAATAATAACAACTTATAATTGTGAGTATGGTCTGTGAGTTCTGTGTGGCCATTGTAACGAATTATCGAACCCAGCAGAGAAGTAAAGAGTGGGAGGGATGGTTAGTGTCAGAACTGGTAGAGATGGCAGAGAGAGAAGGCAAATTGACCACGCCTCATAGGAATCAGCTTTGGGCTGTTCTTGAGTTTCCTTCCCCCTTGTGAAGTTACAGGTCAGACACTGCCCCCACGCCCTTTTTACAATAAATAAAAAGACAATCCAATTTAAAAATGGGCAAAGGGTCTGAAAAGACATTTCTCCAAAGAAGATATACAAATGAACAATAAGCACATGAAAACATGCTCAACATCATTAGCCACCAGAGAAACGTAAATCGAAACCACAATGACATACCACTTCACACTCACTAAAACCAAAACCAAACCCACTGCCTTCCAGTCTATTCTGACCCATAGTGACCCTATAGGGCAGAACAGAACTACCCTATAGGGCTTCCAAGGCTGTAAATCTTTACGGAAGCAGACTGCCACACTTTCTCCCACAGAGCAGCTGGTGGGTTTGAACTCCCAACCTTTTGGTTAGCAGCTGAGTGCTTTAACCACTGTGCCACCAGGGCTCCTTTCACACCCACTAGGATGGCTGTAAACAATATGACAAATAATAACAAGTGCTGGCAAGGATATAGAGAAATTGGAACCGGTATACACTGTAGGTGGTGTTGTAAAATGGTGTAGCCACTTTGGAAAATAGTCGGGCAGTTTTTAAAAGGCTGAACAGTTAGTATATGACCCAGAAATTCCACTCCTAGATATATATCCAAAAGAACTAAAAACTTATGTCCATACAAAAAAATTGTACACAAATGTTCCCAGCAGCAATATTCATAACAGCCAAAAAGTGGAAATGCTCCAAATGTCCTTCAGCTGGTGAATGGGTAAAAGCAATGTGGTATATCCATACAATGGAATGGTGTTCAGCAATAAAAAGGAATAAAGTACTGATACATGCTACAATATGAGTGAACCTTGAAAACATTATGCTAAATGAAAGAAGCCAGACATAAAAGGCTACATATTATATGATTTATATGAAATGTCCAGAATAGGCAAATCTATAAAGATAGAAAATAGATTCTTGGGTTGCCTAGGGCTGGGGATGGGAGGGTTGGAGGAGAAATGGGGAGTAACTGCCAAGGGCATGAGGTTTATTTTTGGGGTTCTGAAAATGTTCTAAAGTTGACTGTGGTGATGGTTGCACAACTCTGTGAATATATGAAAACTTTGAATGAGTATATGAATTATATATTAATAAAGCTATTAAACATACATATATAAAGGAATCTACTTATATGAAATATCTAGAATAGGCCGAGTATATAGAGATCAAAGTTTATTAGTGGTTACTAGGGGCAAGAGGGCAAGAGGAAGAGGTAAAGGAAGACTCAATGCTTAGGGGACACTGAGCTTCTGTTAAGGGTGATGGTATAATTTAGGAATAGACAGGATGATGGTTGAACAACATGATGAACATAACTAATGTCACTGAAGTGTACATGGGAAGATTGTTGAAATGTCAAATGTTTTGTTACACATATATTTACCACCATTTGAAAAAGGAAGAAAGAAAAGGAGTCCATTAGAACTTGCAGCACAGGGAGGAAAGGGAGGCGAACCAAGCAACCTAAGCAGGAACACACTGTCCACCCTGCCACACACAAAAGGCAAAGTGTGACTTAAGCAGGAAGCAAGCTATATCTCATATCTAGAACCATCAACAGGATGGGCTAAGCACCCAGACTCCATTACCACCTGAATTAACTCAAAGCAACCTCCAGCCAAGTACAGAGCAGTCTCATTGATCAGCTGCTGACTCCCTCTCTTCTGGAGGTCTCCTCCCATCTCCCAATGTCCTCAGTCTTACTTCAACATCATTTTTTTTATTATACCTACTCACAAGATCTCTGCCAGCATCCTTTAATCCAGGCTGATAAAAGAGAAACACTGATGTGGCTACAGTTTTAAGACATAATGTAACTACCTGAGAGTATCCAGCAGCTAGAACAAATAGAGGAGGGTCTAGAGGGTTGTGGGAGAACAGACAGAAAAACAGTTTGAAAAGCAAACTCGGCAGGGAGGTGGGAGGTAAGCAAACTGGGGAAAAGCCATCCTTTACTCGAGAGAGGTCACAGTCTGAACTTTCAGCATTCCAGAGCCATTCTTAGAACACATCTCCACCTCGTGGTCAAATCCGTGCTACTTGGGTATGTGTCCATTAGCCAGTCAGTCAATCAATTTATTAGTACACTAATTTTTTAGTCAAGAATTTCCTGCTCTTCTCGCCTCCCACAATAGCTAGTATTGACCTCATACTATTAGTGTTCTGCTCTAACTCAGACAACCTCACTGAGCTAATGAACCACTGGACCACCTGCAGCTGACACAGCAAGCTAAAAGCCTCACTCACTCCCAGCCAAGCTTCTCCATCCAGGGTCCTCCCATGGTTAGCCAAAGCCCATCCTCTGCTCAGTCTGGCACACGCACATAGTATACCCTCCTAGGATCCAGGAGAGAAGGCATAAAAAAGTACAGAGGATTTACTAATACACGCCAATCAACTCTACTATATATATAATATATATGCTGTTAACCTCAGGAGCTATCTTCATGCTTTGAAAAGAAATGTTACCTCTTTAAAGGAAATTTATTATTTCTTTACAACTAAGAATACTAGCTTTCAGTATCCTTGTTTCTGAGAGCACTTAGAATTAAAATCAGCAATTTCAGAAGAATCATCAAATATTAAAACTGAAAAAGACCTTAGAAATAAAGTTTAGGCTTGGGGCAAATTAAACTAGCTGGGAGAAACAAGTATACTGTGGCATGGGTCACGGCCAACAGAAACTGTGACTAACAGCTCTAAAATTCAAGAAGCAAATCTGATAAACAATTCAATTCACTAGCAAACCTAAATCCTTCATTTGTTGTTGTTAGGTGCCGTTGAGTCAGTTCCGACTCATAGCAAGCCTATGTACAAAAGAATGAAACTTTGCCTGGTCTTGTGCCATCCTCACAATCGTTGCTATGTTTGAGCTCACTGTTGCAGCCACTGTGTCAATCCATCTCCTCAAGGGTCTTCTTCTCTTTTGCTGACCCTCTACTTTGCCAAGCATGATGTCCTTCTCCAGGGACTGGTCCCTCCTGATCACATGTCCAAAGTGCACGAGATGAAGTCTCGACGTTCTCGCTTCTAAGGAGCATTCTGGCTGTACTCTTCCAAAACAGATCCTTCACTTACTGTGGAAATAAGGCCTCTGCCAATTTTTTCAGTAATGAAAGGAACTACAACTCCAGTAATAATCTTCAGATTAACTAAAGGTTGACTAGAATATCCTGGTACACTCGGATTCACTCACTCATTCCAAATATTTACTGTTTGATATATGCCAGGCACTATTCTAGGTATTACAGACAGAAAAGTTAACAAAACAATGAAATCCACCGATCTGACTCCAGAGCTCAAACTCAACCATTACACTCCATTTAAGAGCATATACTCAGTAATGCTGATGCATACACCCTTATCCAGCCAGACTCTTAGCCAATGCTCCTACAGGAAAACCCTCTGCAAGAGTCCTGGACAGGTCTATGAACTCAGTTCAGGGGCTTGAAATGGTAGGGTCCAGAGAGATTGAAACCATGATCCTAGGGTCCTGACCCATGTAACATATATGCCCCAATACAAGGCAAAAATATTTTCCAAAAATTATCCTACAGAAAAAGAGAGATACCCTTTTATAACAAGTCCCTATAATGAAGAAATTGAAGATTTTTATCAACTGCTGCAGCCTGAAATTGATCAAACATGCAATCAAGATGCATTGATAATTACTGGTGATTGGAATGCGAAAGTTGGAAACAAAGATGAAGGATCAATAGTTGGAAAATACGGCCTTGGTGAAAGAAACATCGCTGGAAATCGTATGACAGAATTTTGCCAAGACCAACAGCCTATTCATTGGAAATGCCTCTTTTCAACAACATAAACGATGAGTCTACATGTGGACCTCACCAGATGGAATATACAGGAATCAAATCGACTACATCTGTGAAAAAGAGACGATGGAGAAGCTTGATATCATCAGTCAGAACAAGGCCAGGGGCTGACTATGGAGCAGACCATCAATTGCTCATACACAAATTCAAGCTGAAGCTGAAGAAAATTAAAACAAGTCCATGAGAGCCAAACTGCAACCCTGAGAATATCCCACCTGAATTTAGAGACCGTCTCAAGGATAGATCTGATGCACTGAACACTAATGACTGAAGACCAGATGAGTTGTAGAACAACATCAAGGACATCATACATGAAGAAAGCAAAAGATCATCAGAAAAACAGGAAAGAAAGAAAAGACCAAAATGGATGTCAGAAGAGACTCTGAAACTTGCTCTTGAACGTAGAGTAGCTAAAGAGAATGGAAGAAATGATGAAATAAAAGAGCTGAGCAGAAGATTTCAAAGGGCAGCTCAAGAAGACAAAGTAAAGTATTATAAAGAATGTGCAAAGACCTGGAGTTAGAAAACCAAAAGGGAAGAACATGCTCAGCATTTCTGAAGCTGAAAGAACCAAAGAAAAAATTCAAGCCTCAAGTTGCAGTACTGAAGGGTTCTATGGGCAAAATATTGAATGATGCAGGAAGCATCAAAAGAAAATGGAAAGAATACACAGAGTCATTATACCAAAAAGAAATTAGTCAAACAACCTAAATGCCCATCAAAGGATGAATGGATAAACAACCTGTGGTACATACACACAATGGAATACTAAGCAACAATAAAGAATGATGATGATGAATTCATGAAACATCTCAAATATGGATGAATCTAGAGGATATTATCCTAAGTAAAATAAGTCAATTATAAAAGGACAAATATTGTATGAGACAAGTATTATAAAAGTCAATAAAAGTTTTACACACAGAAAGAAATATTCTCTGATGGTTACCAGGGAAGAGAGGGGAAAGGAGGGAAAAATCACTAACCAGATAGTAGACATGTGTTAACTCTGGTGAAAGGAAAAGCAATACACAATATGGAGGAAGTCAGCAAAAATGACCAAGGCAACGGAAGAGGTACAATGAATGGGAATGGGAAATTCAGAGCAGCAATGGTGAGAGTGCCAACACACTACAGAAACTGCAATCAATGTCATGGGATAATGTGTGTATAAACTATTGAATGGGAAACTAATTTGCTCTGTAAACCTTCACCTAAAGCACGCTAAAAAAAAAAAGAAAAAAAAAGGAAGCTGCTCCACCCTAGTTCCTGCAGGAAAAAAAAAATTGGTCGATGTTCAACAATTTCAGGAGGTAGCATATGATCAAGAACCGATGGTATGGAAGGAAGAAATCCAAGCTGCACTGAAGGGACAGGCGAAAAACAAGGCTCCAGGAATTGATGGAATGTCAATTGAGATGTTTCAGCAAACGGATGCAATGCTGGGAAGTGCTCATTCATCTATGCAAAGAAATTTGGGAGATAGCTACCTGGCTAACTGACTGGAAGACATCCATTCCAAAGAAAGGTGATCCAACAGAATGTGGAAATTTTAAACAATATCAGTAATATCACATGCAAGTAAAATTTTACTGAAGATCATTCAAAAGCAGTTGCAACAGTACATCAACAGGGAACTGCCAGAAACTCAAGCCAGATTCAGAAGAGGACATGGAACTAGGGATATTGCTAATGTCAGATAGATCTTGGCTGAAAGCAGAGAATACCGGAAAGATGTTTACCTGTGTTTTATTGACTAAGCAAAGGCATTTGACTGTGTTGATCATAACAAATTATGGGTAACCTTGCGAAGAATGGGAATTCCAGAACACTTAGTTGTGCTCATGCGGAACCTACACATAGACCAAGAGGAGCTGTTCGAACAGAATAAGGGGATACTACGTGGTTTAAAATCAGCAAAGATCTGTGTCAGGGTTGTATCCCTGTATGATGAGCAAATAATCTGAGAAGCTGGACAATACAAAGAAGAATGAGGCATCAGGATTGAAGAAGATTCATTAAAAACCTGCAATGTACAGATGACACAACCTTGTTTGCTGAAAGTGAAGAGGATTTGAAGCACTTACTCATGAAAATCAAAGATTACAGCCTTCAGTCTGGATTACACCTCAACATAAAGAAAACAAAAATCTTCACAACTAGACCAATAAACAACATCATGATAAACAGAGAAAAATATATATATACATACACAAACACATATTTTTATTGTGCTTTAAGTGAAAGTTTACATCTCAAGTTAGTTTCTCATACAAAAATTTATACACACATTTTTATGTGATCCTAGTTGCTCTCTCTATAATGTGATAGCACACTCCTCCTTTCCACCGATTTCTCCTGTCCATTCAACCAGCTCCTATCCCTTTCTGCCTTTTCATCTCCCCTCTGGACAGGAGTTGCCCAATTAGTCTCGTGTATCTACTTGAGCTAAGAAGCACACTCTTCACGAGTTATCATTTTATGTCTTATAGTCCAGTCTAATCTTTGTCTGAAGAGTTGGCTTCAGGAATGGTTTTAGTTCTGGGTTAACAGAGAGTCCAATGGCCACGTCTTCCGGTCTCAGTCAGACCATTAAGTCTGGTCTTTTAACTAGAATTTGAGTTCTGCACCCCACTTTTCTCCTGCTCCATCAGGGACTCTGTTGAGTTCCCTGTCAGGGAGGTCATTGGTGGTAGCTGGGCACCATCTAGTTCTTCTGGTGTCAGGCTGATGGAGTCTCAAACGGAGAAAATATTGAAGTTGTCGAGGATTTCATTTTACTTGGATCCACAATCAATACCCATGGAAGCAGAGTCAAGAAATCAAATGACATATTGCACTGGGCAAATCTGCTGCAAAAGACCTCTTTAAAGTGTTAAAAAGCGAAGATGTCATCTTGAGAACTAAGGTACACCTGACCCAAGCCATGGTATTTTTAATTGCCTCATATGCATGCGAGAGCTGGATAATGAATAAGGAAGACCAAAAAGAATTGATGTCTTTGAATTATGGCACTGGCAAAGAATACTGAATATATATCATGGACTGCCAGAAGAACGAACAAACCTGTCTTGGAAGGAGTACAGCCAGAATGCTCCTTAGAAGCAAGGATGGCGAGACTTCATCTCACATACTTTGGACATGTTATCAGGAGGGACCAGTCCCTGGAGAAGGACATCATGCTTGGTAAAGAAAAGGGTCAGTGAAAAAGAGGAAGACCCTCAATGAGATGGACTGACACAGTGGCTACAACAATGGACTCAAACAGAGAAGTGATTCTGAGGATGGCGCAGGACTGGGTAGTGTTTGGTTCTGTTGTACCTAGGGTCACTATGAGTCGGAACCCTCTTGAGGGCACCTAACAACAACAATATAATGTGTGTCACATTAAAGAGCCATTTCTAAATTCCTTTACTTTGAACAGCAACCTCAATCAATACTGGTTTTTTTTTCTTTTTTTAATGCTTATAAGAGGTAACCAGACAGAACTGGTATACCAGAACGAAAAAGAAGAAATTTAATACCTATTTAGTCATTGACCTCAAAATTCCAAGTATTAGATGCTATTGTAAATAAATTATATTAAAGAGCACTTTATAAAGGAATAAATAAATGATTATGTTATAGAGGATGCATAAAATGCGGGATCAATTAAATGAAAAAAAAAAAAAAAAACCTGTCCTAATTAGTTATGCTAATAGATTTTTCTGGTTTGGGATAAACTTTTCAGGGACAATATCATACTCTTAAAAAGAAACAAAGAATGATGTGCTCTGGAGAACAGTACTAGACTGACTCAAAAGTGGTTCAAATGATGGCAAAGACACTGATGTTAAAGGTACAAGTGAAGAGTTTGAATAAAATCAAGTTAATACATTAAATAATATAAAAGTCATTTAATCATTTCATCTCTCTCCCTAGACATTTATTATATACCAGCTAGCTAAAAATTTTTTCAGGTCTTCCAGATGGAAAAAATGAGAGGTCACTTATGATCAGAGTTGCCTTGTACTGATGCACACACACACTCACCAACTGAGTTGGACTCTGTGGCTATGATTTTACAACTAAGGAGTTTAAGGAGAAATAATTTAACACTTATTGATCACCTACAATATTCCAGACCTTGTGGTATCAGCATTCACATACAGTCTTTCATTTAATTTCCACTACAGTACTGTAAGATGGATGTTTCGGGACTTGCCTATGGTCACAGACTAGTACACAGCAAAATCAAAACTCAAACCTTATTTTTTTTGCTTCAGAGCCTGTATTCTTTCTACTATTGTAAGAGTAAGCTTCCCTTTGGAATAGTGCACCTGAAAAGATGGCATTTATCTGTCTACCTGAGTGTGGCCACTTCGTTTTGTCAGCTTCACTCTAGTTTGGTCCAGGCAGGGTACATCCCCATAGCGGTTCTTCTCTAGGTTTCCTGGTGACCTGAAAGAAAAGAAACAGACAAGTTAGGGTAAAGAAAAGGCGGGGGCAGTGTGTATGCATACGTACAAACAAAGTCTGGCAGTGCAAAAGTGGGCGTCAATTGCTGTTGGGGGTGGAGACGTGGGAGCTCTTCCCTCTCTAGTCTACACAGTTCCACATCATTTAACATTTTCTATAACAAGTATGTATTACTTTATAATCAGAGAAAATATATCTCCCTTATAGGGTTTCCAAGGCTGTAAATCTCTATGGAAGCAGACTGCCACTCTTTCTCCTGTGGAGCCTCTGGTGGTTTCGAACCGCTGACCTTTCAGTTAGCAGTCGATTGCTTTAACCACTGCACCACCAGAGCTCCTTACTACTTTTACAATCAGAGAAAGATATTTCCCTTCCAAAGAAAGGAGAGAAATGGGAGTACAAAACCAAATAAATCTAGCTGCCAATAAAATTTTCTACTACTCCTTTCTCAAAAGACATTAAAGATAAATCTCATAAGTTCCAGTTTAATATGGTGGGTTGACAAATGTTTTACTCCAATCCATCCAGTAGCCTCACTACAACGACAATAAAGGAACTAATCGGTATAAACCCAAAAGAACAAAGAAAGTAACAGCAGAGACATTAGCAGACAAAGGTTTCAACCCATACTTGACAAAGAGAAGGCACACTTGGCCAAGTGCAGGAAGTTAGGACCCAGGGAGGTACTTGCAGAAAAGTACACTGACTGAGCTTGAGAACTCCCACAGACTGGAAGGCTAGGTGAGGGACAAAGCTGAAAGCAGGAAGACAAGTAAAATCTGCATGACAAATACTGAGACTCATAGCCCCTTTCTCCTGTTCTGCTCCCATTACATTTGTATCCAGGCTTGGACTCTACCAGGAAAGAGACTGGAGAATTCTTTGGAGAAAGTGAATAGCCCAAGAGGACACAATTCTGTCATTTGCAGTACTACATCAACAAGATTAGGTAGCTGTCTGATCATCCCAATTGTAGTCAGCCATACAAACAGAGCTTTCAATTAGTTAAGGGCCTCACTCTTAAGTGTGAACTGACAGCCAAGGATCTCCAGATAATTAAAGCCAGCTCCCAACACAGAAGCAAGAGACTGATTCAAAGATACAGGAAAAACAAACACACAGAAGAGTCAGTAAGAAAAAGGAAGGTTATCACCAATATTCTCAGTGAGAAAAGAGAGGCACTGTATATATAAAACAAGAATAGGCTACTGTTAAGGACTGAATTATGCCCCCCTCCCCCAAAACATGTAATAGAATCCTAAACCCTATACCTGTGGATGTAATTCCATTTGGGAATAGGGTTTTCTTTGTTATGTTAATGAATCCACACCAATGCAGGGTAGGTCTTTTGAGATACAAAAAGAGCAGATTAGGCATACAGGAGCAACCACAAATGAGGGAAAGGTAGATGCCATGTGGAGATCACTGAGGAATGGATGAATGCCAGGGTTACAGAGGCTGAGACAAGGATTCTCCCCCAGAGATGGAGCCCTGCAGGCTTGGTGGTGCAGTAGTTAAGCGCTCGGCTGCTAGCCAACGGTCAGCAGTTCAAACCCACCAGCCACTCGGCGGGAGAAAGATGTGGCGATCTTCTTCCATAGAGATTAAAACCAAAAAATCAAACCCGTTGCTGTTGAGCCAATTCTGACTCATAGGACAGAGTAAAATTGCCCCATGGGGTTTCCAAGGAGCAGCTGGTGGATTCTAACTGCTGACCCGTTGGTTAGCAGCTGACAGCTTAACCACTGTACTCACAGGGTTGCTATGAGTTAGAATTGACTCGATGGCACACAGCAACAGCCTCCTAAACTGTGAGAAAATAAGTTTCTGTTCATTAAAGCAATCCACTTGTGGTATTTCTGTTACAGCAGCACTAGATGATTAATAGAGACGCTACAAAAAACGAACAATCAAGAAAAGGCTCTTGGAAATTAAAAACGGTATCTGAAACAAGAACTTGAATAGAAAAGATAAAAGGTTGAGGAACTTTCCCAGAACATAAACAAAAAGTCAAAGTGATAAAAAAAAATATGAGAAAAGTTAAGAAAATATGAGAGTCATTCAACAATAGGAGTCAGCAAACTATGGCCTGGCCACCTCTTTTTGTAAATAAAATTTTACGGACACGTAGCCAAGTCCATTTGTTTATGTATTGTATATGGCTGCTTTCACAATATGACAGCTGAGTTGAGTACACGCAAAAGAAACTGTAAGGTCCACAGACCTAAAATATTGACTACCTCACCCCTTAGGAAAAAGTCTGTCAGCCTCTGCTCTAGGAGATCCAACCAGACTGATAGAAATTCCAGAGAGACAGAACTGACATAACGCAAGGAAATGAAGTATGAAAAAAAAGTAACAAATTTCCTAGAACTGAAGAACGTAAATCTTCAGATTAAAAACACCAACAAGGATCCAACATAATGAATGAAGAAAGGACCCACATCAATGTGAAATTTTTAAACAGAAAGATAAAGAGATTATCTAAAAGTATCCAGAGAAGGGGGGAAAAAAACAGATCATTTACAAACGTTTGAGAAAAAAATAACATCAGATTATTCAGTAGCACTGATAGTATTTGAAAGGCATTGCCTTAAAACTTCTGGGATAAAATTATTTCTAACCTAGAATTCTATGTTCTAGCAAAATAGAATTTATTAGTAAAGAAAGAAAAAGATACAAGACCCAGGACACAGGATTCAACAAACTCAAGTGGGAAGGTGAAACTGCAGAATGAAAGCTGAGAAGCAGACCTAGAAACCAAACCACTACAGTTTATACTGGAATAAAGACCAAAAAGTTCTAGAAGTGAGGTCTCCAGGGGAAAAAAAAAGGAATTGATAGATTATCTAAAATATTTAACTACTTGGAACATAATGATAATAGTGTAAAATAAATCTGATGAGGCATATAGAAAAAAATAAGGATAGGTATGTAAAAAACTAAAAGCAAATGAAAAATATTAGGTAATTAACACCAGAAGAAACAAAAAGGGAATTGATAAGATTATTTAATATATTTGATCATTTCACAGAACCCCACTTAACTCTGCAGCAAAAAAACTTACATAGTCATAATAATATAAACTCTGACTTCTAATATAATAAAAAAATTATGACTTACAATTTTGTTGGAAAGATAGCTAAAAAGAATGTGGAGACCTGGTATAAGAGCTAAATGCTCACTTATCATAACAGATCAATAAATGTTTATAGTGGACAAATCAGTAAATATTATTATAAGCATTTTATTTAGAATTATGGAAGAGTACCAGAAGAAACAGCTACAAGAGTTGAAAACAGATGACTATAGGCAGGGACAGATTACCCAATAAGCAAGGTATGCACAGGCTTACTTACTCATCTATAGTGCACAATTTCACCCATGTGATCAGCAAGTAAACACAATTAAGCTTGTGTGTACTTTGTTTACTATGAGCTTGTTGCTTACTAGTTAATCCACCCCTGACTATAGGAGTGGAACTGAGGGGTGAAGCAGGACTGTTTATTTTGTTGCTGTTTTCTTTAGTGCTCTTTGATTTTCTTAAAGTATTTGCATATATCATTTATTAAAAGCGAAAAGAAAAAAAATTCCAAAGATTCTCCAATATAAAATAATACTCTATATTTTTCATGGATACGTATGTACTGTATTTTTATGCAAATAACGCGCGCCTTCTATAAGCGTCTGTCAACTGCACCTTCCCCCCGCAAGGTATTTTTGTAAATGTGCTATGCTAATTTTTTTTCCAGCAACATGTAAAACAAAAAAAACTGGCATAGCAGCATTTATGAAAAATACCTTGTGGGAAGTGCACAGTTGGCAAATAAACGTAGAAGGTGCACATTATTTGTGTAAAAATGCAGCATATGTAAAAGTATAAACAAAATGGACTAGAAGGAAACATACCACATTAATACTTCTGGCTACTTCTGGAGTAGGGAGAACTAAGTGTGAGGATTAGAAGGGACTTCTAATGAATTCTTTCCTTTATGTAATTAAAAGAAGACTTAAGGCAAAAATGACAAACTTAACAATTGTCCATGTCAATTCTGGTAATAGAAATAGTTTTTTGTTATATTATACTCCATACTTTTCAGTACTTAAAACAATTCTCCCTTCCCACACAAATATGCCTAGCTGATTTTTACAAAGATGCCAAACAATTCAATAAAAGAAGGATTATCCTTTTCAATAAATGGTGCTGGAGCAATTGGACATCCATAGGCTGTAAAAATGGTAGTGTGGGGGCATCAAACTTCCTCTAACTTCACAAAGGAGAAGAGAAAGAATCAAGATTATCAACATCAGCCCAAAGCTGATTCCTATGAGGTGGAGGTCAAATATACCTCCACTCTCCAATCTTTTTACCAATTCTGACACCAGCCATCCCTCCCATGGCACTCTACTTCTCCTGCTGTGGGTTCGATAATTCATTGCAATGGCCACGCAGAACTCAGACCACAGTCACAGTTATGGGGTTTATTAGGGAAGTAACAGATTACAACTCGGGATCAGGATCAGGATCAGGAAGCATGTAAGCAAAGTCTCCCTTCTTCAGTACAAGATGGCTCTCTCAGCTCCTTGCAGCCATGCAGGGCTCCTCTCAGCCCCCAAGGACAGGTTCCTCTTGGCCCCCTCAGAACAGTCTCCTCTCGGCACCCTCAGAACAGTCTCCTCTTGGTCCCCTCAGGACAGTCTCCTCTCGGTCCCCTCAGGACAGCCCTCCTCTCTCAGCCCTCAGTCCATGCTTGGGCCTGGCCTCTGCCCTCCTTGGACAAGTGTTACGAAGCTCTTTAGCTCAGCCAATAAGTGCCCAGAGGTACCACACTCTGCCAGTAAGCCTCCTGCCCACAAATGCTCAGCTTTTTCACTCCATAGGTTGGCGAGCCTAGCTCCATCAAATACCCGGAGTCACCCCATTCCACCAAGAAGCCTCCTTCCTGAAGGCTGTCAGCTCTCTCCGTGGATCAGCACACCCACTGTAGCCACCTTGCTCCATGGGCTAGGAAGCCCACTGTGCCGTCTCCCGCCAATCCCCTAGTTCTGCTGACACCATATCTCTGCCACTGCTTCTAGCTGTCTTGTGCAGTCTCCAGTGTTGCAGCTCTCTCTCTGTCTCCTGGGTCTAGAAGGTTCTCAGTGTAGGGACCCCAGGTCCAAAGGATGCACCCCACTCCCAGCTCTTCCTTCTTGATGGTGGTGAGGTCCCCTCTCTGCTCCGGGATTGGCTCTCTTTTAAGCATAGCGGGATGGCAAAACTGACCGATCCCCTCGTTAGGGTTCCATATATCTTATTTGCACAGTCCCACCTTTGCAAGGATTCCATGCACCTTAACTACGTTATTAGCAGGCTGTCCAATCCCCTTGATGGGCTACAAACACCTTATTTGCATAGTCCCACTCAATCATTTTTGGGAGTTACAATACCATGCATGGCTAAATGGGCCATACTAAGTAATTCACTGCACCGCACAGGCCAAAAAAAAAAAAAGAACATCAACCTAAACCCTACATTTTATACAAAAATTAATTAAAAATGTATCATGGACTTAAATGTAAAGCATAAAACTATGAAACTTAGGAAAAAACAGGAGAAAATCTTCAGAATCTAGAGCTAGGTGAAGTGTTCGTAGATTGAACACCAAAAGCATGATCCATAAAAGGAAAAATTGATACATTTTTAATAAAATTTAAAACTTTTGCTTCACGTAAGAGCCTGTCAAGCTGCAGACTGAGAGAAAATGGTCGCAAATCACATATCCAACAAAGAACCAGTATCTAGAATATATAAAGAACTCTCAAAACTTAACAGAAGAAAACCAACTATCTGATTAGACAACGAGCAAAAGACATGAAAAGATATTTAATCAAAGAGGATATACAGATGACAAATAAGCACACAAAAAGATGTTCAACATCACTAGCCATTAAACCAAACCAAGAACTAAACCCACTGCCATCAAGTTAACTCCAACTCGTAGCAACCCTACAGGACAAAGCAGAACAGTCCAATAGGGTTTCCAAGGAGCAGCTGGTGGATTCAAACTGCTGACCTTTTGGTTAGCAGCTGAGCTCTTAACCACTTCGCCACCAGGGCTCTAGGGAAATGCAAATTAAAATCACAATGACATATCATTACACTCCTAACAAGATAGCTAAAATAAAAATTAGTGGCAAAACCAAATGCTGACGGGAATGTACAATGGTACAGCCACTCCAGAAAACAGCTAGGCAGTTTCTTTGAAAAGTAAACAAGCAATTACCATACGATCTAGCAACTGCATTCTTGGGCATTTATACCAGAGAAATAAAAACTTACATTCACTCAAAACCTGGACACAAATGTTCACAGAAGCTTTACTCATAAAAAATTGGAAACAACCCAGATACCATTCAATAAGTGAATGGTTAACTAAACTATGGCACATCCATACTATGGAATATTAAAACAAAAAAAAAAATCCAAACCCGTTGCCGTCGAGTCGATTCTGACTCAAAGCAACCCTGTAGGACAGAGTAGAACTACCCAATAGGGTTTCCAAGGAGCAGCTGGTGGATTTGAACTGCCGGCCTTTTGGTTAGCAGCCAAGCTCTTAACCACTGCCAACACCAGGGCTCCTATGGAATATTTCTCAGCAACAAAAAGGAATGACCTATTGATACACACAACAACTCAGATAAATCTCCAGGGAATTATGCTGAGTGAAAAAAGCCAATCTCAAAAGGTTACATACTGTATGATTCCTTTTTTTTTTTATGCTGTAGGTGAAAGTTTACAGAGTAAATCAGTTTCTCATTAATTAATACACAAATTGTTTTGTGACACTGGTTGACAATTCCGCAACGCGTCAACCCTCTCCCCTTTCCCACCTCAGATTCCCCATTTCCATTTGTCCAGTTTTCTTGTCCCTTTCTGCCTTCTCATCTTTGCTTTTGGGCTGGTGTGCCCATTTAGTCTCACATACATGGCTGAACTACGTGTTATTGTTTTAAAGGCCTGTCTAATCTTTGGCAGAAGGGTGAACTTCAGGAGTGACTTCAGTTAAAAGGGTGTCCAGGGGCCATACTCTCGGGGTTTCTCCAGCCTCTGTTAGACTAGTAAGTCTGGTCTTTTCTTGTGAATTTGAATTTTGTTCTATATTTTTCTCCTGCTCTGTCCAGGACCCTCTATTGGGATCCCTGTCAGAGCAGTTGGTGTGTATGATTCCATTTATGTAACATTCTTGAAATGACAAAACTATAGAAATGGAAAACAGATTAGTTGTTGCCAAGAGTTAAGGATGGGGAGAGGGTAGAAGAGAGGTAGATGTGATTACAAAAGGGCAATGTGAGGGATCCTTGCAGTGATGGAACTCTTCTGTACCTTGGCTGTGGTGGTGGATACACAAAACCTATGCATGTGATAAAATTGCACTGAACTAAATACATACACACACAAAAGCAAAAATGGTAAAAACTGAGTAAGATCAGTGGATTATATCAATGTTAATATCCTGGCTGTGATATTGTACTGTAGTTCTGGAAGATGTTACCATTGGGGAAAACTGCAGAAACGGTACATGGGATCTCTCTTTATTATTTCTTACAAGTACATGTGAACCTACAATTATCTCAAAGTAAAAAGTTTAACACAAAAACCGAAAACTTTTTTTTAGCGGTATGGAGGGAAAAAATAAGAAGGAAAGAAAGTCTCCTGGTCCATTGGAACCCTGTAGGGAATACTTTGGTATCTACTTCATAATTCAGAATTGTAAGAAGACATAGTTTGTTCTGTTAAGTAGTTCTACCAGGACTTGGTGAAAGACAGGGGCCTAGAGCTGATGAGGATTCTGGATTCTAACTCCAAGGGGGAAGGGGAGTTCATTCATTCAATAAAGTGGCAGGACTGGGAAATGTTCTCTGATTGTAACACGACAGGTGGTTTGGATAATGCCAAGAGGATAATCCAAACCCACCTTTTTAATGGAGGTGAGGGTAGGATCATGGTAGAAATGACATCTCCAAGACCTCACAAACAAAAAACCCGTTGCTGTCAAGTCGATTCTGACTCATAGCGACTCTACGAGACAGAGTAGAACTGCCCCATAGGGTTTTCAAGGAGTAGCTGGTGGATTTGAGCGGCCGACCTTTTTGTTAGCAGCTGAGTTCTTAACCACTGCGCCACGAGGGCTCCAAAGACGTCACAGCTGGAAGTAATTCTAGAAGCACCCAGAGCAAGATCAGGAATCCCCAGGATAAGTGTGCCCCGCATCCCCCTGGAGCAGCCCAGCAGTCCTCCCTGGTTTATGGTACTTCCTTGATTCAAGACTAAAAACTCGCCGCTGTCCAGTCGATTCCAACTTATAGCGACCCTATAGGACAGGCAGACCTGCCCCGTAGGGTACCCAAGGCTGTAATCTTTACAGAAGCAAACTGCCACATCCTTCTCCTGTGGGGTCACTGGCATGTTCAAACTGCCGACCTTTTTGTTAGTAGCCGAGTGCTTAACCACTGCACCACCAGGGCTCCTTCAAGACTACAGGGGAATAAATTGCTCTGGATGCGACAGGTTAGATATAAACAGGGGTCTTCAGATGGTAAGGCAGAAAAGAGTATTTCCTCCTCTCAATATATGCTCTACTTTCCCTTTTTTTTCTCTTTCCTTTGCATTCTTTCTCTGCTTATTGGCTTCTTTCTCAATTGCTTCTTTTCATTTACTTCCCTTATCTCAGTTTCCTAACTCACTATTTTCCTGTTCTTTTGCTAAGAGGCTCTCTCCCTGCATCCTTTTTTAGAGCACAATGAATAAGCTGGACAGGAATTACACAAGGAAGAGATACTCACTGAATCATGAATTCCGAAAACATTTAACCTACAAAGGTAGGTAGATAGCAGAGTCTAACAGTCACATGTTACACATGGGAAAATTAAGGTGCCGAGAAGGGAAAAAACTTGTATGAATTACAGAAGGAATTTTTGGCTGAGCTGGAACTTGAGTCTGGGACCCACTGGGACGGCTTCCGTCCTTTTTTCAACACACAAACCCGCTAGCTGGAGAGAGATTTCTGCCTCAGCCAATTAAAACCTGAGGGCAACAGAGTAAGAGAAATTATCTATGGTCCACTACCAAGAGGTTTCAAGTAGTCATGAACTAGAGTTATAAACTAGTCAGGTGGGTTTGTGTAGGATTTGGGTAGAAAGAAAATCCCAAGAGGCAAAATTCCTAAGAGGCAACTCTTCTCTCTCGCTGATTGTGGATTATTTCAAATGCACCAGTACTTCTCCACAGGCTGCAGTGTCACACTACAATGCTCTAGGGAGACACTGCCCAAATGATCAGACCAAAGCATGCACTGAGGATGGAAACAGAGTGCATCCTGTTTAAAACCTACCGTTATGTTTTTGTTTTTGTTTTTAACACTTGCGTTTCAGGAAATATCAGAAAAATGTGTCCATTCTTACACGGTTCCTCTATTGGTACCAAAGACCTTCATTAGATGTTGGCAACAAGCACCAAAACGGGAGGTGCCTCTTTCTAGATGACCGAAACCATTATCCAAGTGAGAATGGTGCTCCTTAACACAAGGAAGAGCCTCCTTTAAGAACTGAGACGTGGAAGGAGCTGTTGCCAGTGCCTGCCAGAAGCACCATGGTAACTGATCCTTAGCCCAAACCTTTCCTACTTACATGGAACAGTGGAAAGTGCCAACAGGATTCTCACGACGGATGTCTTCATACTCCTCATAAATCCCCCGCTTTTGCCTGGTGTTAACATAGTCCACCAACTCTTGGATAGTCATGGCGTGGGGACCTGGAACATGCACCGATTCCCAGTCTAAGGCAGGAGGGAGGGAGAACAGGATGATCTCATCGAAGGGGTCTGGGTGGCCGTTCACCTGGGGGAGGAACTGGAAATTCCAACTGGCGAGGTCAATTTTGACGTACCCACCCAGGTTTTCAGGAAGGCACTCCCTGGGTAGGTGCTGGGTGACCTCAGATGTCTTCAATATCTGAATCTGGAAGGCCAGAAAGAACCATGTGAATATGTGTGGGGGGTGGGGGAGACACCCCCCAACATAGTGAAGATAAAGAATAACTGTGCTTATATTAGGCGTGGGGAACAGGATGAGATTTTCTTGAAATACTAAATATGCTTGTAAAAGAAGCAGACTGTATTTCACCTGTCTGGGATTGAAGCCTGTGATGGTTAAACCCTGTCATGACTCGTGGAACATACAGTATCCCACCCACTTTTTATGCCTCTGGAGTTCTTTGGGAGTACTTTTCCCACTGAAAGTATTTGCTTTCCTCCAGTGCGGATGTGTGTAATGGTGAAAGGTGAAAGAATCATTCACTGAAGCAAAATAGCTAGAGTATTAGGCAAAACCAGAGGTGCCCCATGTACCCAAAGGGAAGGTGCCCTGCAATAAAGCCTGCTACCCAAAACTGGTGGGCCAGAGAGGTTCCCACAAATAATGTATTTTCACATAATATTTCTCAAAATCTATATTATCAACCAAAAATTAAACACACTCAATGACTCAGCATATATTCCACTACTGAAAACACATGATATTGACAAAAAATTCAAAGCAGAAAATAATAAGGTCTTGAAAGGGTTAATGTTATATGTTAACCTGGCTAGGCCATGATTCTCAGTGATTTGTTAGATATTATGTAATTATCCTCCATTTTGTGACCTGATGTGAGCAGCCAATCAGTTGAAAGGTGAGTTTCCTTGGGGGTGTGGCCTACATCCAATATATATGAATATTCTGGCAAAACTCGCTCTCTCTCGATCCTGTATCCGACTCATCATCCTCTGACCTCAGGTTCTCAGGACAGCAGACTGCCACCTGACCAGCAGACTTTGGAATTTGCCAGCTCCCGCAACGCTGTGAGCCAGCAGCCTTCCACATGACCTGCCGATTTTGGGTTCGTCAGCCTCTGCAACCACAAGAGTCAGGAAAAGCCTCCAGCCCAATGCCTGATCCACAGATTTGGGACTTGCCAGCCTTCATAACTGTGTGAGCCATTCCCTTCAAATAAGACTCTCTTTCTATATTTATATATATGCTACACTGGTTTTCCTTCGCTAGAGAACCCAGCCTAAGACAAAGCACTAGGGATTTCCCAGCCAAAGGTATGACTTCCCAGAATGTATATCAGATTCACTCCTGGAATTTGTTATATACCTTCTGCAAGGAAGGCATAGTGAACAAAGGCTTTATACTATTAACAAGGCTTCCCAGTACCATCTCATGCTGATGCTCTCCTTTTGACCACTATGAACACATGGGTAGTAGCTATTTTTGTCAACCTCATACTAACGCAACCAATTCTAGGCCACTTATCTTGTGCTTTACTCACAGCTCAGTATGGATGTTCTCAAAAATAGGTTTCTACGAAAGCAAGACAAGACAAGCCACCCAGAGGCAGGGTAGCCCAAGAAAAATGCTAGATAAGTGATCATAATACCCAAATTCTGCTTCTGCTCAGACACAGCCATGCTATACCAAATTAGCCTAGTCAGTTCTCCCTGGAATCTATTCTCTCCAGTGTGGAATGGAAATGCTGCTCCTCCTAAAAGCTTGTCTCTCTCACTTTCACCTCCTCCTGGAATGCCCTCTTTTCCCCCTGCACCTCTTCAAGGACCATCTCACAGCTCACCTCTTGTGTAAAGCCCTTCCTGACTGCCCAAGGCAGTCCACTCCTGGCAGATGTACCAAACGAGGAGATAAATGTGCCTCTCAGAAATAAATTCTATTCTTTAAATCAAAGTATATATATCCCATAAAACCAAAACACCAAGCCCATTGCCATCAAATTGATTCTTACTCATAGTGACCTACAGGACAGAGCAGAACTGCTCCATAGGGTTTCCTGGAGAATGAGGTATGAGCTCCATTTTAATTTTTTACCCTAAGTAATTTTACTATACAGCCCTATTTTGATATCTATGAAGTCTTTGGGAGCCATACAAAGCTTTTTGCTTTAATAATATCCTGTAGCAGCACGTTCAATGGATTAATTATATGCTGTGCTATGTGTTTTCACAAACCACAGCCTTCTTTGCACATACCAATCTCTGTGCTCCCTATCAGGACCATGAGCTCAAGGGTAAGGGCTGTCTCACTCAGTTTTCAATTCCCAGGGCTCAGTGCCTAGACTGCAGAAGATACTCAATATATTCTGAGTTCATATATGCGTGTATACTGCCTATAATTCAGGTGCAAGAACCTGCCTAAGGAGTCCTCTCAGAGTTATCTTAGGAAACATCTCTCTTCTTTGACCCACTAGGACCCTAAGTAGCTTCCACAGAACTAAACATTTTCAGTTTCCCCTCTCTAAGCCAAGTCGCCTCAACTTTAACAATCTGTATTATTATTCACATAACCTCATGATTTCCTACCACAAAAATCTCTGATAATATTTCAAAAGAACAACTTCATTATCTTACCCTATATGTCAATGTTTTGTATGCCCTTTCTTTTAAGGGCTGCAATCAGTGAGTGAGGCCATAATCCTTCAGACCTGGAACTCTCAGGGGATTATGACAGAATTAAGATCATTTTGGACAACACTTTCTGAAGACGGGAAGCAATCAGCTGTCTTAAGGGAAAATACCAGGAAAAAAGGAGAAAGAGATAAGAGGGAGAAACTCTCCTCCTAAACCCTGGTTATCAAAGGGACTGAAAGTTATTTCCAGTTGAACAAATTCAAAGGTCAGTTCAACAAATGCAATTATATTAAAAGTTGTTAAACGTTAAAGTCCTGTGTAGTACTGGGCTAAATTTTGGAAGTAATAACTATCCCTAAGATACCTATAGGTCACAGTACTTCAGTACTATCTTTATGCAAGATGCTGTGGAGGGTGAGAGCCAAGGAAATCATGTCCAGTTCCTAACTTCAAGGAGCTTGTAGTACAGTGAGAGACACAGCCTGTACTGAGCTGACTAATGAGTAAAGCAGAGAATGTGAGTGAAAACACTAACAGAAGCAGAAAGTGCTCTACAGGAGAAGCCAGGAGGATTTTTTGAAGACAGAAAATTACTTGGCAGAATTTTGACAGTAGGGATGGGGATCTATCTCTCTACCTTCCAATAAGACAAAGCTAGCTTGCCTTACCCTCTCCCGGACTTTATCCTTCAGCAGGAGGCTGATGATGGAATAGGGCACTCGGAACCATATGGGTGCTCCCACAATCAGCACCTTCTTCAAACGAGCCGGGAATGCTCCCTGTGGAGAGCACACATGAGGATTTAAGGATACCAAATACTTTAGCTGTAACAGTGCCCCAACTGGACCTGTGACTGTTCAAGCGCAAGTTTGAGGTTTTCTACTCTTCTCCCCATTCTTACCCAGCAAGGGGAGCTGATGGCCTAATTCAGGTTTTACTGCAGTAGCTAGAGAAAAGGTAATTAAAAAGAAATTAAAAAATTAGAAGCTGACTTACTTTTAAAAGAAATGATGTTATGTTCTTGTCAACAAAAGCTTCATGGAGCAAAAACTACTTTTCTTATCAACAGCTAGCCAGCAAAAGCACAAATATATGCATCCTAGAAAAGCTCTGCTTATTAAAACTTTGTAAAGAAAAAATTAGATCTTCCTAATATAGTATGAAGGAGCCTTGGTGGCACAATGGTTAAGTGCTCGGCTGCTAACCGGAAGGTCATACCCATCAGTCGTTCAGTAGGAGAAAGGTGTGGTGATCTGCAAGATCACAAGGATTACAGCCTTGAAAACCCCATGGGGCAGTTCTACTCTGTCCTATAGGGTTTCTATGAGTCGAAATCAACTCCACAGTAGTGGTTTTTTTTGTTTTTTGTTTTGTAATATAGCGTAAGATTGAACACGAAACATTTCTTTTTCATAACCTAACCAAAAACCAAAAAAAAAACTAAATCCATTTCCATTGATTCTGACTCATAGCGACCTCATAAGACAGAGTAGAACTGCCCCATAGTTTCCAAGGAGCGCCTGGTAGATTCCAACTGCCAACATTTTGGTTAGCAGCTGTAGCTCTTAACCATTATGCAACCAGGGTTTCCTTTTGTAACCTACCTTTCTTTTATTCTGATATCCATGTATTTACACCCATTTATTTTTTTATCCATCTATTCATCTATGTATTCATTTATTCAATTAATAAATATGATCTAGGTGGCACTTGGGCAAATGAAGCCTGATAGAAATGAGAAATCCTGATCTACACATGGCATAGGACAAAATATCATGCATTCCTGGTGCACAGTGTTTGCTTTCATTCTGGTTTTAAATGTTCCAGCCCATCCTATGGGCAGGCTTACCATGTAATCTTGGCATTCTAACTAGGAAGAAATCATTCCCAAGGAATCAAAAAAAAAAAAAAAAAAAAAACCCCAGAGGAAATTGTAGCTAAATACCTTGAACCTCTCTCTCTATATATACATATATATATATATATATATATTTTTTTTTTTTTTACCACTTTCAAAAGACTGATTCCCAATGTGACATGCCAGTCTCTGGCTATTCTTCAGTTCTGATTTTAAGGGTGCACAAATACTCCCTGTAGAGAATACATGGTATCCAACACAAAATTCTCCAAAGATCTCTTCACTTAAGTCTGAGAAACTAACTTTCATCTCTTTCCACAAAGATGTAACAATTTATTTCAGGGCCTAAATAGCCAAGGCCCCTTAAACTGCCAGATCAAGATCTGGTCTTTAGAAATAACTGTATTTCTACTTTTACAGGAAATACACAATGACAATAGAAGGTAGCAGCCATTACATCTGCTTCCTCAGTGCAAAGAGCTATAGACGCCGGCCTAGTCCATTTAAACGACTGTATGGTACCCTCATATACTAACGCTGGGACTGTAAACTGGTAAGGCCTTCTAGAGGACATATGGCATTATTTATCCTTAAAAACATGCATACTCTTCGATCAGGTAATTCTATTTCTGAGACTATCTTAAGGAAATAAGCAGGGAGAAACAAAGAATATAAACAAGAATGTTTACTGCAACTTT